CAAGAGATTTCTTTTGTAGTGTTTTATACTGTTACAGAGACATTTTAAACATATCTGTCAGGTGGGCATAGAACAGTCTACTGAGTTTGTGTTAAACACAAATGCTTTGGTTCGTGAATGCTGCAACCTAAAACAGGTTACACTCTCAAGACACAATGCTTCAGAATGAGCCTCTGCAACGCTTTTATAACCAACTGTCATAGTGATTCCCCAAGAAGTACTGCAGGGTGGACGAGACCCTAGTAGGTCTTCGATAGTTACTCCTGGATCCTGCCAAGAGTGTGAGTGATTGTAGTCATGCCAGTAAAAAATCTAATTCCTCCAATCAATTCTTGCTCTCCTGTAAGACACTGAGGATCTTACAGCATGGCTAGGGATATATGGCTTAGTCTGGTGAGGGCTGCATGCATAGGTCCTAGAAAATGATGAGTAACTATCATGTATACTTACTGTATTTTTTTTTCACTTGGCTTTAGGGCTTTGGAAATTATGTTAATCTACCTCCTGGAGATGTCGTAATGCTCTTTTTGTATTATGTGTGTACATAAATATTGTTGACATAAACTGTTCACTAAAATAAATGAGTTAATGACTTTCAAAGCTGAGAATGTCGTACTTCCCGAAACTTGTCAAAAACTATAAAATTCAAGGATTTAAGAGAAATTTGGAAGAAGGTACAGAAAGATCTTAATCTTCTTCACCTTTGCTCTTCTACTGTACATACAATATATATACTGTATATACTGCCTCCTGAACAGGAAAGGAAGTGTTTTTTTTACTACATTTTCAATTTTACTTCAGTGTCTACTCTGTCTACTTTTTTCTTTCTACTTTTCTGAGGTGATTACTGCTGCTCTTTGAGTGTCTTAACCCACTGCCCGATCTTTTTGTTGCATTTCATCTTTTCCCCTCCAAAAAGCTCCTAATTCCAATTATCTGTAGAATACCCCCCCCCCCCCAGATCTCTGATGTTCACTTTGTTCCAAAGATGTGAGCACATGGTGTCTCTCTGCACTTGACCCAGTCTCCTTGTTCAATGCTCTGCGCTAGGTTCCTGCCCAGGAAGCAGGTTCAAGTGTTTGCCCTCAGATTCAACTACTGTTATAGCTCATTAATACAGTCATAACAAATGGCCCAGAGAGGTCAGCAAGTTTTTATTTAGCACATCAAGCTGCCCTACAAATCACTCACTACCACTACTCTTTCCAGGTCAGTACAGTGTCTTCCAAGCTAATGAACTCCAACCTGATTTGAAAATTGGAGACTGTTCACAATGTATTATAATTAATGTAGCCCAAATTCATTGTCTGGAGTCAAGGCAACAATTGAGCCTGGACCACTAGAGGTTTATTTTCTCCCTCCAGGCGTTTTGTGCCCATTTCAATTACTACTATACAAACTTGTTAACCACCATATAATTTTGCCCATAGGAAACCATGTCACCTATGCTGGGTCCCAGGAGATGAATCTGCCAATGTAACATTCTTCAAGTCAGCCATGCTGGTTTGACTTCTGTGCCTCAGAAACAACTTGCTCATTCAAGTCATTTTGATATCTGCCACTTTTTTTTGTTCTACAGAAGCACTCCCAGCCTGCTCCCAGAGCTTTTTTCTCATTCTGCCTTTACTCACTTCAGGATTAGCCCTCTAACTATAGCCCAATATATTCCCCTCATCAGTGTTTTTCTTCCCTTTTTATTTCCCATGTTGCTGACATTAGATATGCTCTCTTTTTCCACTTTCCTGTGTGCCATGCTATTATGGCTCTATCTGTTGCAGGTCAAAACACTTTTACTTATGTTTATAGTCAACACTAATGCTCTTAATGCTATGATTATTGTCTATAGACCTCAGGCGTCTCACTGAGTGCACTAGTGTGATAAATATTATTTAAAAGTCTGTCTCATTTTCCATTGCTGAACCAGCATCCTCCTCGCTTCTTTGATGGGTTTCTTATTGCCGCTTTCCCTGCTAGAACTCTTGAGTGGGTTTGTGCATGTCTAAAATTTCTTCAACATAGAAAATCAAATTAATTTCACTCTTCCTACTTCCTTCTCTAGGGAACGTCCTTGACTGTACCCTTTTCAGCTCCTTGTCACAACCCCAGCTTGGTTGCTTTGTCACTTTTCGTCAGTTCATTCCACTCTTCTTCAGTGTAGGCTCTTAAATGAAACTGACCTATGCACATTGACTCTCAGGCTACATGGCCTATCTTCTTGACTTTGCTTCCTACATAACATCTCTTTATCACTATGTTAACATATCTCATACTAAATCTTAATGCGGACTGCTTATAAACTTTTTTCATTTGAGTCTGCAGGCTCATTTTATTGGGAATATAGGACCTCCAGCTTGTGGGATAATATAGAGCTTGCATCAGAGTCCAGTATATTTTCCTCTACATTCATTACTTCAAATTTGTCTCTGCAAACAGTTTTTTAAAACTACCTGTTTCCACTACGAATTATGCACATCTTGGACAGGCATCCCTTTCAACTCACTCTTTCACAGTCTAAAGTCAATTACTTTCCACTGGTTGCTACACCATAACTTGAAGCTAGCAGCTTAAGCGCCAAAGGTTGTCCCTTTGTGTATTCTTAGCTGCTCCATTATACACTACTGCACAGAACATTTACAGGTGTCACATCAGACAGATCAAGATGTTTGCTACTTGATTTCATAGAGCTCTTACAAATCTTTTTATGTTGAAGATTATGATTATACTCTATACATATAGAATTTCATAACTTATTGCATGTACTTGCAGTATAATCATGTTACTTTTGTGATATTTCATTAGTTGTGTTCATGATTCTCTCATGCTATACTTGCTTATAACGTATATGACAGTATTATTTGTATAACTAACTATTCTGCAAAAAATAGCTCATGTAAAATCTTCCTTTAGCTGTGGGAGATGGAGATCTGGATTATGAGAAATGGTGTATTTGTAATGATGGGCTCATATTTTAGTGTTTCAGGACAATCATTTGCTATCTCTGCATGTCTTTTTTAAATACTATTTTAAGCTTTTAAAAGAACTTCTTAGTGATTGTTTTTCAGTTGTTAAACAGGGCATATGCGTTAAATACGCTTATTAGTGCCATGGAGAAATAAATATTTTTTGCATTTAAATTAGATAATATTGCTTTAGAATGAGATATGTTTTGCGTTCATAGGAGATAACATTGTATGGAAGCTTATTAGCGCCATGGAGAAAAAATATATTTTCTGTTTAAACGAGGTACTATTGCGTTTAAATGAGAATTTGTTTGCATTTAAATGAGAAACCTTTTGCGTTTATACAAGATAACATTCCATTAAAATATGATAATTTATCTGTGAACAATATTGCCTACTATATTAATATCTCGTAATATATATTGTGGCATTACACGGGGGCATGTTCAGTGTGGAGGCAGAGGCCTTGTCTAAAGGTGACGTGTTGCCTTGACAACCACAACCGAGGCAGTTAATTCTGGAGCAGCCACAGCTGTGGGAGCTGTTTAAGAACACGCCCTGCTTAATTTCACAATATACAACAATATTGACCCATAAAACTAGCATAAACAACAGAAGAATATTGTCACACTCCACTTTGTGCAAAATAATTCATCTTGAAAGTTCCACCAGTAGAAAATGTCTATGAACTCTGAATCTGAGCTTCTGGCCAAATTTGAGGTGTTTTTCTATCAGAGGAAGCACTCCTAAAATATTTAGATTAAAAAAAATAAGGACAGAAAGGGTCAAACACAGAATAATTAGTTAACAGGATAAATGATATCAGTCTAGACAGTGTGTAACTGGAAGAGTGTCTCCAGTCTGCATGGTTGCACACTCACCCTACATCATTTTGTTCAGGACAGCAAAGAAAGGATTTCATCAGTAAAAACATTTCTCCGTGATGAACCTACAATAAAACCAGTGAAGCAGTCGCTGTACTGAACAGTCAGGATCTGCCTTGTGTATAGTATTTATTAAAGTAGCTCGACAAAATTATTGAGGAGGGATAAGTACTGACATGAAAGATTTATGAGATTTCTCTTCTAAACAACAGATTCTCCTTTATAATTAATTTAGGATTTAATGAAATCTAGTGTAATACTTTTAACTACTTGTATAAAATTGAAGATTTCTGTACCATAGTCATTGCCTTTATTAATAATGTGGCAAATACAAAAACACCATTGTCAGCAAGGACACTGCAATAAAACATCAATGCTAATGAACAGCAATCAAAAAAGTCACCTTGAGTAGCAGAACAGCTCACTCTGTGTCATTTAGTTATGTCAAACTTTTCTCAGGATCATATGTACTGTACATAAAACTTAATTTACATTTGTGTGATTTTCCCTATCAATCCACATTTTTTTAATCATAGAATGTGACAACTATATTGTCGTAGAATACCATAAGATAGAGAATAGGATACCATAGGATATAATATTACAACACCTATAGGGTTTGAATGTTTAGGGGTGTGAAGAAGAAGATCCTTCTTGTTCACACTCTTACTGTAAACCCATTGTTGCCAAGAACATCAGGTTGATACTTCTGCAGATGTGCGTTGTAGTTTCTATGCCACTGAACACAGCAGTCACCTCAAGCCAGGAGTATCTACAGAGCTGAGAAGAACTTGTGAGCCCCTTGGCCAGTCCTTATTCTCCTATGTTTTAGATATAAAATGTAATTAGATCTTCATGAAAGTCTTAATAAAAAAATGAAGAAAATCTGTTTAATCATATAACACAGACATGTTTCGAGTACTTAATTTTGCTGTTTTACTGAAGCTTGATTCAGAAATGTCTGATTAACATCTATGATTTTTTCATAATTTAGCTAATAAGTTGCATGGGGTGTGCATTTCATATAAACTTAGTAATGCAGCTATATTTTTACAGTAAGTCAGCATATCCTTTATGTGCAAGTACATTTTTCTTATCAGGTGTGACATCTCATTCTGTATTTCTATTAAAAAGCTAATATTTTTTTATTTTTCAGGATCCTTTTGTCTTTGAACCAAGCTGTCACTTCAAAGTGGACGAGTTTGGTTTCTTCCTAACTTGGAAAAGTGAAGGAAAGGTGGGCTACCATTTTATCTGTAACAGAACAATGTAAGGGATAGAAAAGGAAGAAGAAATGAGGTACCTACAGTACATTTTCAGTGCATCTCTTCACTTTGATCTTAACACTAGATCACTGTTAGTGAATTACATTTTCAGTAAGAGAAAATTGACACAAAACTTTATGTTATAAATACATAAATCTGGACTGTGGGGTCTAACAGGTATCAGAAAGCAGAAAACTTGTGATGTTGCAAAAAAGACCCTTTATTTTTTAAAGCAGAAGTGTTTCTTATATTTTAATTGCTCAACTGAAAAGCCTTACAACTGCAGTACTTAATAAATACAAAATCACAATTAGTTTCTATGTGAATATGCCTCAGTTTCTGATTGTTTTCTTATGAGATCTCACTACAGATGCCAAATTTCAGTGTTCTACATGATTCTGCATGCTCATCTTTTTCCTTCTAGGAAGGCCAAGTCTTAGAATGCTCTTTGATCAATAGCATCCGCTCTGGAGCAGTACCAAAGGTAAGAGGTTGCCTTTGTGATTTCCATGAGCTTTACATGGAAATCACAAAGTCAACACATCAGAGAAAAGTTTTAAATTATGTAATTGAAATCTTCCTATAGATCAAAATATAAAATGTAAGATATTGATTGTAGCAGGGACATTGCTAATATATTGATTTTTTTAAAGTAGGGTTATTTTATTGTTTTATTTTTGTAATACTGGATTTCCAGAATGAATTTGCTGATAAAATCAGTTCTATAAAGTTTTTCAAACTGACATGAATAAGTTTTAAATTAACATTTCTTTTCACATAAACACTGAATATTTGCAAACTATGTACAACTCTATAAAGCAGCATTACCATGCAAGAGCAATCCATTAAACAGAACACGCTAGCAACATCAAGAAGTAATACAAGCAAAAAACATAACAGCATCAGTGAAATGAAGACATAGCTTAGTAGCTTAAAGATCGGGAAGCACAGGGGAAATTCGTCCAGCAGAGAAAAATAATCATGCTACATCATGTTTTAAAACAAGACTCCAAATGGTTAATAATGCTGTTAGTCATACTTGCTTCAGAAATTGTTTAGTCATTTGTATACCAATGACTTCTAAGAAATGATTTTTTTTCTCATTAATAAATATGCATAACATATATAACTAGATATATAGTATCTAATTTAAATATAAATGTACTGTAACTAAACAATTAAATACTATTTAGGTGTGCTTCATATAGTAGAACAATTGTTCGGTTATAAGCTAATATACACTGATTTGTTTTTACATTGTTGTACAGCCACAACAAATAAAATGCTTTTTTTTGGTAACAGCATTATTTTACTACATTAATAAATAAGCCACTTTTAATAAGTGGTTAATTTGTAAATAACAATAATATTTTTTTTTTCAAAATGCCCAAATCAGTGGTACAGTATCTATCATTTTTCCTTGCTAGCACTTGCATAAGCTAAAACTACTTTTGAAATGCCTTGTAATTTCTACAGATAAGAACAAGAGAACATATATTTGCATTGTGAATTTAACATTTTGAATGAAGATTAGATTTGATATATCTAGTTTTTTTTCATTCAGAAAAAGTTTCTCTAGATATATAAATGTTTTCACTGGTTCAAAACACTGAGGGAAGGTACAGGATGGTCTAATGTTAATAAATCATCACCACAGGCAAGTGCACAGCAGATTTATTATTTATAATCTGAAATGGTCTATATATAAGGCCCTGCAAAATTTATAGGTGGATTCTAAAAACTGACATTCCTGGACAGATGGCAAATATCCCTTTTGTTATTTCTTGTATATATTGTCATATTAGCACTCACACTGACTTTCAACACCATTGCTAACTATTGCTAATTCTTACCAAAATACATAAGATAAATATGTCAAACAAAAGACCGTTAATGCACATGTTTTGTTATGGCAAGTAAAGTTCAAGAAATTAATGCAAAAGTAAGATCTGTTTAATATGAGTTCATTGGTAAATAAATATTTTAAAATAATTAAAATAGATGGTGGCATGCACCAATACATTAAAAGTAATTCCAAATAAATATACTAATTCATGTATTCTAAATTAATGACCTGAGTTTTTTTATATATATATATACAGCCTAGTTGTCTGTGTGCCCATCGCTAAATATAAATCACAGTAGTTATGCACTAAATTGAAGCGCAGATAACAAAGGGATACAAATGCGTTAAACTGTGAGAATTCATCAATCAAAGTATAAAGAACTAGCTTAAAGCATAAATTGAACAATGACACATAACCTTTAAAATCAATGAAAGATGTGTGGCTGAACTTAGTTCCTTGATCCATATTTGTACATTTCTGTTTTAAAAGGATCCCAAAATACTGGCTGCTTTGGAAGCAGTTGGGAAAACAGAAAATGACCTGGAAGGACGCATAGTCTGCGTATGCTGTGGTGCAGACCTGGTGAACCTCAACTTTATTTACATGGTGGCAGATAGCACAGAAACAGCCAAGGTATGGGTTTTGGCAAAGACAGGAAATGTACATTTATGAATGCATATTTCACATGAGAACATACACAAATTCCCTTACTGCCAGTCTTGTAGCGTCTAGCAGGAATAATTGCTGGGAAGATTCAGACAGTATTTGATCTTTTCTGAAATGTACGTTGTAACATTTATATAAAAAAAAGAGATGAAAAATAATATTCTTTAGGGCATTTCTATAACTCAGGGGCGACAGACTGCCGGCAAAACCAGACAATTTCTCTAATGTGAGAAATTCTCTAATTTGTTTGATTTTACATAGATCCTAATTTGGATAAGATAAAGGGATAGTGTTGCACTGCACAGCTCTATTCTGTATCGTCTGTGTTACCCAGCTTAGAAATTTCTGTTTAAAAATAGTAAGGACTACAAAGAAGGGAGCTCAGTTGCTTCAGTATACTGTATGTGCCTTTGCCTCAGTTGCATATTGGACTGGTGGAGAGGTGAATATTGTGATTTGCTGCACCGTAGTGCTTAAAAAATGCATTAAGATTAAATACAGTATATGTTTCCAAATTTGTCTGAGCTTTCAGTGATACTATGGAGCATCCTGAATGTGATTCATCCCACAAATGTTCATTGTTACTGAGATACAGTAACTCTTAAGTGGTAGTATTTTAGCTACTCCGCCAGATGGCCTTGCACAAGTTCAGATTTTGTTTGGTATTTCTCTCAGCAAATAGATAGATAGATGGTGGTACTGAATTGGAAGAGAAAAACAGAATAATTAATAATTCTTGTAATAAATATGACTCCAAGCAGGCAGAAATGGGCAATGCTGCTTCGATACATAAGCAATGGAACATGTCTTGTTTTTTTTTGCTTATTACAGCAATGGATGGAAGGTTTGAAGTCTGTCATCCATAACTTCAGAGCTAACAATGTGTGCCCTATGACTTGCCTAAAAAAGCAGTAAGTACTCAAACACCCACTTGTTATTCAATAAAGCAATAAGTAAATACATAAGCTTATAGTTCTAAAACTTTATTTTTTCTTTTTTTAGTTGGATGAAATTGTCTTTCCTGACAAATGTAAATGGCAAGATTCCTGTGAGAAGGTAACATGCCCTCCTTTTAGTGTGTTTTATTTTAATACCCTGAAGATTCTCATGATATTAGAAACACAAACACAGAGAGCATACAGTAGACTAAAAGTATTAACTACAGTAATTGTTTGAACTAGGTGTTTAGTATTTCTCAGATTTTCCAATTTCTTTAGCATAATTCAAAATATGTAATTGATTGCTTTTAAAAGGAAATATCAAATTTAATTTTTCTTTTAGAACCAAATAGAGCACAAATATTAAATGTATTCCTAATTCTTTTACCTGCATTCTTAAATATGTATTCTATAATATTTGGTGTCATACTGTCCCATATGTTTATTTTCCACACAGTTCTGTCTAATTTAACTGACATAACATATTAGGAAAACAGGAAAGATTTTAGTTACAGGGAGTTATTCGTAAAACCCACTGCTTTACAGCAGCAATAAATGTTGTTCCAATTGATTAAGGCTTAGTGGCCTGGTAGTTGCATTACCCAGAGAGAAACCAATATTGTCAAAGTGTCCCTAAGTCCTTATTTACATACAGTGAATGTGATTCATAAAAAATATGATGACTTTAAAGGCTTTTATCAACATTGAATAAACCACATCAGTGGTACAATTCCAGCCTGTCCTTGGGAAAAAAATATAGCGTTGTTTAATTTAATTTTCACACGATTGTTGTGTTGGTAGGACAAGAAATTATTTTATTAATGTTAGAGTAGTAACTTAGGCTGCACAGTGGTAAAGTGGTTATCATTGCTGTATGTCAGAGTTGGGGCCCTGGGTTCAGTTTCTGGGGTGCTATTTGCATGGAAGTTGTATGTTTTCCTCATGTTTGCATGGGTTTCCTCCGGTTGCATTCGTTTCCTCCCACAATCCAACTAGTAGGTTAACTGTAATCAGGAGGAAGGGGATTCCTTGAGTCTTTCTACTCAGTTTAGTCTGGCTACAGTATATCTTTGAACTACATAATCATTATCTGGTTCTGATCATAACATAAGACACAAAGGCTTCACAAAGTCCAACAGAGACAATAATATATGTCAATATATATATTATTGTATATTATACAATAGTATATATAGACAATCATAATATGTGTAATGACAGCGATTAAGGAATACAATAAAAATGCTGTCACTGTGTTCAAATGGGTCATAGTGGATATACAGTACAGTATCTTCTATTTTTTAGGAATAGCTGCCACATTGATAATAATAATAATGTGTACCTTTGGCGGTTAAAAAAAAGCCACTGCTGCCCCTTCTTTTACTCGTTTCAGAACAACTGTCATGTCCCTAAACCTTCTTTGTAGCTCCTGTACAGTTTTCTGTTCCAAAATATACAAATCACAAAGATTCTGTGCAAATTCTGTGTAAACTGAAATACAAGTAGATCTAAAGCATTCATGCTCAACACCCATAGGTATAGGTGTTTGAAATCTTGCGTGGACCATAAACAGACAGATTAGCCATCATTAAAGATAAATAACACTTTTAACAAAGTGTTGTTTTTCACTTAGCATAACAAGGACCTTTGCCTCCGGCAAAACAGAAAAGGGGATCTTTCAAGCACTGAAGGAACTGGGACTTCCTAGTGGAAAGGTATGGAGAGATACTTCTGTTATTTGTTCTGATATTTTGCATAAATTCTTTTGAAATGTAAGTACTTTGTAAATAGACTAGTAAAAGCTCACTGTGCAGAATTGGCACTTGTCATTGTTGCAAAATTACCTTGTGGTGTGATCAGGAGTTCCCCCTCAAGCCGTAGCCTGGATATTGTTTGTAAAATCTTGGATGCACCTGACTACTATTTCTTTTGTGGTAACCTCCATGTCATGAAGAATAGGGGACACACATTTTATAGGGAATACACTCTTAAAACCTCATGGCATACATCTCAGTGCTGCAAATGTGGACATATGTTTGTTAGACTTCCTTTTTAGGTGTGTCACACTAGGGTTGACAATCATGCCTATCTTTCTAGTATGATAGCAACATGACAGCATGTTGTTCCATAGTACTACAGCCCCACCATGTGGAATACAATGGTATCTTCTACATCGGGAAAAGGGGATTTAAGCTCCTACACTGCAATTATTCAGGGAAGATAAGAAAGAAGATAGGCAATTTGAATCAGGTTCAAGCATAACATAACTACTGAGGAGGTAAATTCCCCTTGGCATTTTTTAAACATTTGTTTTCTAAAACTTTTTTCCAACCAATTTGTGACAGGGGTATACTATACACAAATCCTTTTTAATTTTTTTAAAGGATCCTTTTTTTGTGGTGTTTTCTGCCTCCTGTTGGATGCAAGGGAAAAATTTCCATGATACTGTCCCCCTCTAGTTTGGTTGGGGGACAACACATGCTTACACATACTCTGAGCTTCTTTTTTAGCCCTGCAGTCCAGACATGTAAGTTCCCCATGTAATAGAGCACAAGTCAAAGGGGTTGGCCTGGTATGCAACAGTGACACCCGGAAGACAGCAGATTTTAGTTTTGGTTATCCAGTCAATAAAATGTCTGTAGTAACGTTTACATAATGGAATCCATATGTAGCTTCCTATTGTCCTCATGAAGTACAGGGGTTGTAGGAGTAAATGGAGTTGACAAATAATTGCTAATTACAAATTAACTGAATAATAAACCAGAAAGAATTCATGACAGACAAATTTAAAATAATTAAAAATAATTTGGTGAGTGGGCCTGTTAGGTGAAACTGAAGAAACGTTTTGCTGAGTCATATTTAAAAAATCATAAAACACATCCTATTGCTGTATGTTGTATATACTGTACCAATATATTTCTAAATAGAATTTACTAGTAGTTATCTCTTGTCAATGTTATTCTTGCTTACCGATGTGGCACTTGTATGATATGTGCTGTAAATATTTGAACTTTTTTATAATCTTAAAACTTTCTTTGCAGAATGATGAAATTGAGCACTCTGCCTTTACCTTTGAGAAGTTTTATGCACTTACGCAGAAAATCTGCCCTCGGACTGACATTGAAGAACTATTTAAAAAACTGTAAGTCTACAGTACATGCTGCGGTAATACAACACAATACTTACAATAGTAGTGTAAAATTTTAATAAAAACAAAACTGCAAATGTAATTTATCCAGAACAAGCTCACTCGTATAATTGACTGAAAAAGCAAATTGCAATGGGTGTCTTAAGTATGAGACATTAATAAAGACTGATTTTAATGGGCTTCCAAATACTGTAGCTTATCCAATAAAGACATTTGTTCAGCAAACAGATTGGGCACTGTGGTTAAGGTAGCATAAGTTCAAACCTGGGCAATGTCATTACTGTTACTGTGCCTCCCCCTGTGGTGGAACATACTGTACTGTAACAGGCTGAGTGCTGCTATAGATGGGTAGGCTTTAGTCAGCCAATATTCTCAGGGCTTTTGGTGCAACAGAGACTCCTGGGGCCTAGAAAGTTCGTGGTGACATAATTGAGAGACAAACCACACCTCCAGTTGATTCTCATGAAGCTTGTAACCTGTCAAATTACAAATGATTCTGACAAGTGTGCATGTCTGAGGAGATTGTCTTTAAGGTCTAATTCTGTAAATTAATACACAGTTTATGAATCCAGAAGACATGATTAAGCAATAGAAAATATTTGGCAGATACATTTAAAAAGAAAAATACTTTTCTGGAATGGTCTAACTGGTTCAGTTCTTTCACACTTCATGGCAATTTGAAATTCAAAAGGATAAACAATCAAGCAAAATCTGCTCTGTTTTAACATTCTTTAAAGGGTAGTTGAAAGCAGTAAGTAGTACACCTGGAAACAGTCTGCATCTGCTATACTAACTTTCTTTATAAACCTAACCCGCTGGATTTGTTTTAGTATTAACCTGTTTGTTAAACTAACTAGGTATTCTTAAAAAAAATCAGTATTAATCATAGCAAATATTTTTATTTTAATTTTATGAACTGAAATTGTATACATGCAAATAAAATGTCAGAAAGCAATTATTTTGGGGGGTTCTGTATTATGAATTGAAGAGTGTAACAGCTATTTTTTCTAACACATTCCTTTTCAGCAATGGAGACAAAACTGATTATTTAAGCGTAGACCAATTAGTCAGCTTTCTGAATGAAGTAAGCTTTTTTCATTCATTAACTTTATGTGCAGCGACTTGCTTCCCATCTCTCTGTATTGCATGTATCATGCTTCCATTTTCTGTTTTTTGTGGTCCGGTCAATGTATCTCATGTCATAACCATGACAGCCTCCAGGTGTGCAGTACAGATCCTATTTCAGCTGCTATTGTGCCTTGCTTCTGTCCTGTTAATGTGGTTTTCTTTGGCTGAAATATACATGCTGTTGTTTGGAACTGAAGTGGTTTTATGGAATGTACTGTAGAAGACATATTCCTGACAGAGAAAATTGTGCAATAAATATGTACATTACAATCTATACATTAAGGTTTTGTAGAAAACGAAGGTTTACATTTTGATATACACATTTTAATTTTAAATTTAAAATGATCGTGAATTACTGCTCAGCAAAACATAATATAACCTATCTGCATATTCGCGTAACATATCTTGATATATACCTGAACAAACATGAAAAAACAGTCCTTTAGTGTTAAAAGGTTGTGTTCTAGAGCTACGTGTGTATATATATATTTTAAATAAAAATGTCCTCTTCAAATTTTTATATCTCTCCTTTCACAATCAGTTTTCTTATGGTTTGTCATTCTAACCTGGGCATTCAAAAACGCCAGTCAATGAGCATAAATATATGGGTTATATAATGCATGCACATAAAAAAAAACTGCTTATTATAAAGCCTCCATTGCGTACAATGTATTAACGTGTTTTCTGTCACTTATATTTCTAAAACATATATACAGTATATAAACATATTTCTTGTTACATTGTATTTATTAATAAAAAGAATTTGATAAAATCCTTTCTCCATTTCCAGAATCAACGAGACCCTCGGTTGAATGAAATTCTGTTCCCATTCTATGATGCAAAAAGGGCAATGCAAATTATTGAAATATTTGAGACAGATGAGGAGCTGAAGAAAAAAGGTATTTAATAAGTTGCATTTAGAATGACAAAAAACATGCATGGAATTGCATATTGTTTGTGAAGTTAATTGGAATTATGAATTTAATATTTCATAATAAATAGATCTTAAATTATATTAACAACTGTGGTAATAAACAGTACATACTGTACAATAATCCCCAAAAGAAGAATTCAATTATGATCATCTGTTGCCCCCTAGTGGTACTTTCTAGTGTCATTATCTGAACAAACTAATGTGGTAGCAATTCATACAATTGTATACTTACTGACCATATTGTATATTACTGCAGAACGGTAATTAAAATAATATATATACTTAAAAGGCTAAACAGTCCAGCCTTCATAAGCATTTGGCTATAATCAGGAACAGCAGACGCCACTGCTGCCAGAGTGCACCGGGGCTGATATTTTGATTAAATATATTTTTAAACATTTGGTTGAGTTTTGGTTTGCTTTCAAATCAGCAAGCATTATGTGGCTTAGCTGGAGTTTTGTGGTTTGTAGAGTTTGAAGAAAAGTGGAGTTTGGTTTCCTTAGAATGGGCCGAAGAAGTGAAGCCACAGAGAATAGCACATCCAGTTTTATCTCTGGTGAGAGCAAATGCTGATTGCACTAATGTAAAACAAGCAAAAAAGATGCACAACAGTGAATCACAGCTGCGGAGATATTAATGCTTAGATAGCAGATACAGGCAAGAGGAGAATTTGCCCACTTCCTGAACTTGGGTTGAAAAACAAATTATAGTTGGAAAACATTTATTTTCTCTGTTGCCCTCTTCTGTATGCAGGCCGGATGTCCTGTGATGGATTTTGCAGGTATCTGATGTCAGATCAAAATGCCCCAGTCTTCCTCGATCGCTTGGAGCTGTATCAGGAGATGGACCATCCGCTAGCACATTACTTCATAAGCTCCTCTCATAACACATACCTGACCGGCAGGCAGTTCGGTGGAAAGTCGTCTGTGGAAATGTATCGGCAAGTCCTTCTAGCAGGATGCAGGTCAGTCTCATATATTAAGTATATAATTATGAATATATTAAAGCACCTATCACTAACTGTACATGTTCGACATTTTTCAACCTTAAACAAAAGTGGCATAAAAGAAGTCTTTTTAAGCTTTCATTACTTTTCTAACAGATGAGTTTAGATAAGAATTGTGAACTTTTCCTCGATCCTTTCAGATGTGTGGAACTTGATTGCTGGGATGGAAAAGGTGAAGACCAGGAGCCAATAATAACGCACGGAAAAGCCATGTGCACAGACATTCTCTTTAAGGTGCATGTCGACCAGATATTTTTGAAGCATCCAAACATTTACTTCTACAGAATTGTTACAGATCGAACAAGCAGTTTAATCAGTGTTAAAGCAGTTTTTAGACAATGTTTGTCTTGTAATGTATACCTGATGAAAATAAACAGATCTTAAATGTAAATGAAATGAAGATGTAGAATCCCATGTTCTAAGAAGTCTAAAATGTCTGTCTGATATGTGCACTTGACTACTCTTCATTCAAAGGATGGAGGGCTGTTAAACATTTATTTGTGAATGATATAGAAGTACATATACAAGTATTGGTATAAAACATCTACCAAATATAACAAAATTTATATTAGACCATTCTGTTAAATCCTAATAAATTAGGGCCAGTGTATTGAAATGAGATTAACGCACCTTGTGATTTTTTTCTTTTAACATTTTTTGTAGGATGTAATTCAAGCCATTAAAGAAACTGCATTTGTAACATCTGAGTCTCCAGTGATACTGTCATTTGAAAACCACTGCAGGTAGGTTATTTACTCTGCTTAATTTGCATATATAAACATGGAAATCATAGTGTTACTTAATATAATTCAGTCTTTCTGATGAGATGTTAAACCGAGGTCCTGACTCTCAGTGGTTATTAAAGATCTCCGGGCATATCTCGATAAAAGTAGGAAGTTATCCCAGTATCCGGGCCAAATTTACCCCCTCGGCCTTTACAGTGGCATCCAAATTGTCCCCATGTATGATTGGCTTGCACTTACCCTGCAATGGACTGGTGCCCCATCCAGGGTGTACCCTGTCTTGAACTCGTTGCTTGCTGGGTAGGCTCTGGCTTCCTGAGACACCGTAAGGTATAAACCAGTTTGGCAAATTATGACATGACTTAATGTAATTCAGGAGTACAATTCCTTTATTTTAAGAAAATTTGAAGTAATAATCTAACCAGGGCCTTATTGAATATTGCAGGCTGGGTGCAGCCCACACAAAGTGAAAAAGAACCTGCACCCATATTTTGTTCAAGCTGTCATTTTATATTGACTAACTGTATACATATAGGGTTAGGTTAGATCTTTTCACTAACAACTTTGTATTAGATATGCAATATGTATTAGATGTGATCGTTGTTGTACAATGATGCCTTTTAAGTAACTTTTAGTAGGAATCTTTTATATCTTTAATTTTTTTTTATACTATAGCAAACCACAGCAATATAAGATGGCAAAGTATTGTGAAGAGATATTTGGTGACCTTCTACTTAAACAACCTCTGGAAGCATACCCGGTTTGTATTTCTTGTTTCTGTTCTTTCAATTTTACACTATCACTGTATTTCATAGATAAAGACTATTTTGACTCTTTTATTCTACAGATTGAACCTGGGCGACCTTTACCTTCTCCCAATGACCTCAAGCGAAAAATACTAATTAAAAACAAACGTCTAAAACCAGAAGTTGAACAGAGTAAGTTTGCAGTTTTTTCACAGTGTGTTCTTTTGAGGAAAGATCAACCCGACTGGAGGTTTTGTATGTTAAGAATATGAGTGCTTGTATTGATAAAAGAAACAATAATTATTATTCCCTGTACTGATTTACTCTACTGTTAAAATGTTTTTTACAGCACTGAATATAGTGAATAAAGGTTTGTTATATATTGTAAGAAATCTTTGTTATGTGAAATATCACAGATTTCATGAGAAAAGTTTTCTCCGAGAAAATTCCCTTTAAATATATCCCAACATTAGACCCAGAAAGGTCCCAGATGTTTTTATTTATTTTTTCTTAAAAGAGCAACTTGAAACTTTTAAAAAGCTAATGGAAGCTGGTGAAACAACTGCTCCTGCTAACATTCTGGAAGATGAGAATGAAGAAGAAATTGAAAATGGTAAGAGGCAACATGATTACATAAATTAAATTATTTTTAATGACTACAGTAAAAAACATTTTTTCTTAAATCTCCAGATAGTTACTTCAATGTCAACAATGCAATACCTGTTCTTCAGCTTTTATGATTTCCTAGCAGCATACGAAGGAAAACAACCAATGTCAGGCATTGTGTCATGAAACAGAATGGATTATCAAATGTTTTATAAAGTTGTGACATATAAATATATGTAGGTGACTGGATATGTCCAGAGATAACCCAGAACATCATATATTAAATGACCTTGGACAATGAACAAGGTGAATGCTATAAATAAAGTGTTAGTTTCACAAAACAATTTTACAGATGTATTTGTCCTGACACTTACCGTGTATTGTGAAGGAATGGTGGCTGCCTGTCAGTACCCACAGACAAAGCAAAACCAACTCACTACATCAAAAGATCACAAGATTCTGGGTAAAATGTAGTGAATAATGTTTTTATTGTCCTGCATTTTTAGCTACCATCCCACCGACTCGTGGTAAGACATCTAACTGAAAGGCACTTCTGCTCTTCTGATTTACACTTCTCTTTCTAGGTGATGCGGGGGATTCTTTTATGTACTGTTTCTTCTTTTGTAGTTCTGCAGTAAAATTGTGAATAAAAGTATAGAAAGACCAAAAATAAAAATAGGGCTAAATCTTTGGGATTTAGAAACAGTTTGAAGTTTCTAGATTACATTTTGATTCCAGTGCAGTAAAAGTTGCAAGATCTTGTGTTTTTATTAGAAAGACACAATTAGCCTTTGAGTAGATATCGCAAAGGCTACCAAAAGTCTATACTTTTTTTGGATGGGTAACTTACAGTACATACAGAAATGCAGATAACCATGGGAGCAGTAGTTTTAAAGATAGTCAAATTAGTTATACTGTAAGGTAGTTATTAGAATACAGATCCAGGAATTGTTTTGATATCATTTTCAGGTCTTTCTTGAATATCTTTAAAAACTAAGCTTATTATTTACTGAAGTTACAGGAAATGATAATATCAAAAGTCCATGACTGCCACTTGCCTATATCTGTATGCTGGAGTATAATCTACTGTAATTGAACTGGCAACACTGAAAAGTAAAAGAAATCAGAAACATAAATAAGAATTCTAGGGAAGTCCATTCACCATTTAGGAAATTGGTCAGTTTGCACCAGTCTTCTCAAAAACAAGTCACAGATCACAATAAATAAATCCAAATCTTAAATCAAGTGCCCAATATTTACAAATAGTATTTTTTTCCTTTACACTTTACACAGTATTTTTAGCTTTTTTATGGGACAAGGCTGGTACAAACATAGCACCATAGCAAATGCTTTGTAAAAATTACTTTTGATTATTAATTTTATTAAATTATTTTGAGATTTTTACTGCTTTAACGGTGTTGGGAGAGTGCTAGACCACTTTTGCAGTAGTCCAAGAGATGCAGCAATTAAGCTTGCATTCTTGCTTGCTTATTCTGACTTTTCTTCTTTTTCAATTATTCTTGGTTTTATTTATTTGCGTGTTGGTGTGTATATGGATTGTGGGTCAGAAGTCTTTTGTATTGTAATGTTTCACTAATTTATACATTTTGTTTTTCTTAAAAGCTGATGTTGAAGAAGAAGCACATCCAGAATTAAAGTTTGGCAGTGACCTCTCTTCTGATGACTTAAGTCAGAAAGAGCCACATTTAAACAGTGTTAAAAAGGTAGAATTTTTTTTTATTTCACATCTATTAAAGATAATTTTCAGTGTCACTTAGTGCATTTTTTGTATTTTATAGAGGCTGTATGCATTAAAAACATAAACTTATTCTTAGCAATATTTAAATCTGTTCTTTTGATATACCATAGTTTTGTACAGTATGTTCAGTAAATGTCTTTCTGAAATATAATTCAATACATTTTAGCATCTTGAAGTCTTATTAAAATGTGGATAAATGCCTGATTTTATTTTTAAGGTTACTGAAGAAGAGATAACTGATGTAACAGATGTATCAGATGTATCAGAACAGGACAATAACAAAAAGGTAGTAGTTCTGCCAGGTGAAGTCTTTCTTGATTGTTTCCCCAAATCACTTCATATTCGAAAGGAATTTTACCCAAAATGTGAACACAGCTTGAGGTCTGAGAATTCAGTGTGATTACTAAGGAATTTTTAAAAAATAATTCCTGACTCCTTATCATTACAAGCACAAATAAATAAGATTTCAAAGTGAACAATGAAATAACCACTTACTGTATTTCAGTGATTTCCATTTTTTTTTCTTGATTTCTTGCATACCTTTAGCATCCTTCTGTTTTATCAAGAAATCTGAAGAATTCCTAGATTTCAACATAAGTGCTTTCAGCATACTGTAGTTATAAAGCAAAATGTGTAATATTTTGTGTCTAAGTAAAAATGTGACAAAAAAGAATGCAAGTAAAAAAATGATTGAAACATTTTCAATAATATTTAAATGGAAAGCAGGTTTAATATGGCTTGAAATCTGTTTATTTCAATGTCTAACAAGTCTTATACTTATGTCCAACCACAGCATTACTCATTAACAGAATCCTGTAGAGTGCTCTTTAAAACATGCCCTTACATTTGCCTAATTTTACCCAGGTTTACCTATTAAACTGTGACATAACATTTCAGATACTTTTTTTTTGTTGATTCCAGACCTCTGATGCATCATGAAAACATTAACACTGCTTTTGAGGTTAAACAAAGTCTTTTTTGAGAAAAAATGTAAATGAAATACATTACACTTATTTAGATGCTACAACAATAGATTTTTGAATTTCATTCAGCTGAAGGCCCTATTAACCTTATCAGCTAAGCTAAAGTAAATGGGACAAATGGCATTCCCTCATTTGCAAACTTTCTTCCATTTTGAATGATCTTGTTTTGTAAGGATTCACTTTTCTGTACGGTATAAAATATACAATTATTATAAACATTTGAGAAATTTGCAAAACCTTTTGTAGTTTAACAAGGTTACAGCTTTTGTGGTATTCCCCTGTGGTTAAAGTTTTATTGGCTGTGTTCACAGCGGTGTCAAGAGGGTGTCTATTGAAAAACTGCATAGCAATTTGTACTCCTTGGTTTTCAGTTGTATTTTCCAGTGCATTACTCTATTACTCTAGGTGCCACCTAAGCAGGTAAGCAGTGCGTGCTTTGCTAGGCACTTATGGAAGGACGTAACAGCCCTTTACTCAATAGTAAAAATTATAAACCTGAGCAAAAAGCATAATATTTAGAAGTGGAACTTAATTATATTTCCAATATGATTTACTTTTCTCCCTACTTATATTTAGGGTGGTATCACTGTGGAGGATGAACAGGCCTGGATAACCTCTTACAAATATGTAGGGGCTACCACTAATATTCACCCCTACCTCTCAGCCATGATAAACTATGCTCAGCCTGTGAAATTCCAGGGTTTTGATGTGGCCGAAGGTAAGTATGACAGTTGACATCCAGAAACATAATTACTAATTATTTAAATGATATGCAAAGTCCTTAATGAAACAATCTTTATATTTTCAATTTAGACACATTATGTCTGCTAGGTGGTTATATGTGGAATGATACACAAGGAGGCAGTGCATCAGAGGAGAGTATGCTATAACTTCATCAGCATACAAAACACTTACATTTATTCCCTTAACAGTTTTGTCTCTTTTTCTCTCTCCACCCTAAATATGCATTTATATATCCATATGCATTTGTATGTATGTATGCATATGAATATGTGAATATGTGGGCACCAATTTACTATCTATATCATATCTGTTATATGATATACTGTAACCTTTTGAATCACCTAGTTTATTATGCTGGTGAAGGCTGTGTGTGGCTATTTCTTCAGCACAATCAAGGTTAACATTTGCATGTATTATTCAAACAGATAGCAGGTTTGTTTGAAATACTTTTTATTGAACCTAATTTCTGAAAGATTTGGTCAAGAATATTTTGACCTAGGATGATCTAAGACTCACAATATTTTGGAACATTGTTTTTATTTAATACAAAATATAGAATTGGTCCAAATCTTGTAGGGAAGTATTCAAAAAGCAATAAACACTTTATTTCTTACATGTGCTGTGCATGCGGATTAATGATAATAATGAACGTTTAAATTTCAAGTACAATTCAAGAACCAAGAACAGCTTAACCAGCAATTATACAATAAAACAATGTGCAGACATTTCCTTGTGGGTAATTGCTTTATGAATACATCCCACACCATAGTTTGGAAAGTTTTTATCATGGATGATTATAATCTTGTTGTCTGTTGTCTTACCCATGACAAGAAGAAAAAACAGAAATCAAAGATATGAGCTTGGCTGTAAGCATCATATGTCATTTTTCTGTAAGAACAGGGATTTCCAAGTTTATAAAAACAAGAACTAAACAAAGATCCCGTGCAAAAATTTCTTTGTTGGACAGTTGCAACACCTGTTGCAGTTGATGTAACAGAAAAACTTACAAATTTAGAGCAATACTTAAACAGCATTTTGTAATTTCCTGTTTTTTCCTATATAGAAGGTTTTTATCAAGCTTTATGTTAAGTAACTAAATAGCAGTATTTAGTGGCACTAAATAATTGTTACTTCTGCTCACTTAAGAAAAATAATTATAACTTTAAATTATTAATTATTTTTTCTCCAAGTCATTCATGGGTATTAAAAGATGTATCTGAAATATTGGCTTTCTGTGTCTTTGAGAAGGAATGTGGAACAGAATGTCAGTTAACATTTTGAGTAGTCTTTTTCTTAGACATACAGTGAGATGGATTTTTTTCTTATATACTGTATGATCCATAGTAACAAAATATTACGTTAATTGTTTCAGAAAGGAATGTACATCATAATATGTCATCATTCAATGAGTCAGTTGGATTGGGATACTTGAAGACGAATGCCATAGAATTTGTAAAGTATCCTTTGGTATTTTTTGTCATATGCAAGATACTACTCCGTATACAAGTTATATGGGTTTTTATTCCTTTCTAAAGCCTATACTGTTCTTCTACCAAAATCAAGCTACTTTAAAACACATTTGCTAAAAAGTTTAATAAAATCTTGTGTTTTATTTTAGTCAATAAATCAGTATGTAATTAACATGAATCACACCAAAAGAATAATAATGAAGGTTGATAGATACCAGTAGTTTTTACAGATCAAAATAAATATTTTTGATGCATAATAACATTTTTCAATATGACAGTTTTGCTTTAGTGAAAGCATGTTCAACAATAAAGCATACCAGTGTTCATTCCTGTTTATCTTAATGAGTACTGATATTTTTACTGTAAGGTAATTTTCTATGTAATCTGTTTATGTATTCATAAAGAATCTATAAACGTGACGGGTTGAGGTGAGATTGTGCATAAGTGCATTAGCTATTATTTGTTTAGCTAAGTGGGGGAGGGGGCTTCCTCACCATTAATATATAAAGTAGAGTATAAAACAAAGTAAAGTGTAACATCTAATAATAATACAGTTATCCCTCTGCAAAGCTTTTTTATTTCCTGAATGTAATGCACAGCTATAATAAACGACAAATGAGTCGAATCTACCCCAAAGGAGGCCGGGTGGATTCCAGTAATTACATGCCTCAGATCTTCTGGAACGCTGGCTGCCAGATGGTGTCTCTGAACTTCCAGACTCCAGGTACAGAAGGCTGTCCTCTCAGCTCAGATCCCAATGGACGTACTGAGTAGACCCTCCCAGACAGATGCCACACTTTTGCTAAAGGCCTTTTTGGATAATGACATATGGCTTGAAGTGAAATCATGTGTGCAAAATCAAAAAGCATCCGAACTGAATAACATGAAAACAGAACAAGAGTAATGGGACACTGAATTTGGAAGGATTGATAATATAATCCTGGAGGGGTTTCATTATGTCACGTGCAAGCATTTTATGGCATAAAGCTGCACAAAATCCACCATATTGGACAAAGATTCAGCCTTTATGGTCATCTTAGACATTTTTATAAGAAATCAAATGTAACACATTTGGAACATGTTTGCTTAAATAATTACGCAATTGTAAGCTACCTTTCTATTTTTCAAAGGAGTTCTGTACTGTATATACCTTCTATGACATTTATACTAATAAAAGTTGCATTATTCTATATCCTGCTAGATAGCTGAAGAGATGCAAAAATGATTTTAAAATTAGATACAGCTTACACAAGGTACAACTTGAGCGGTATAAAAATGAAATTCGTAGTACAGAAACATGACTCAGAAAACATAAAAGCACATTGGGTGAACTCGGATATGTACATGACTTTATCATTGTGTGGTCAGAGGAGTTTAAATTGTTTTTTGTGGCCTTTTATGATTCTGTTTTATACTAATTAATCAGTACATCAGTATTTGCATTACTGAATGACTTTAACTTAGAAACCATTTCTCCTTCTTGCCACAGATTTAGCAATGCAACTGAACCAAGGAAAATTTGAGTATAATGGATCATGTGGGTAAGTAGCACAGTTCAAGCCATTATCATTCCATGAGAAAAAACAGCACCTCAAAATTAATAAATTAATGTGTCATCTACTAAAGCCAGAGGCCTCTGATAACTATTAGACACATTCAAGTAAATCGGGAAAATACAAAAGAGGGGCTCATCTTAAAAACATGTAATACAAATTGATATCTGAGCAATGGGAACTCTGTTTCACTGAAGCCGCAGGCAAAGATTTAACTAGTAAGAAAATGATTTATGTCTTGATATTCTGTATTTTTAATGCAATTTTGCCACAGTACAATTTAATTGCACATTATATTGTAGTACAAAAATAATGTGTAATATTCTTTACAAAGTAGGATACTGTCCTTCTTAGCTCAGTAAGCCTCATTCTGAATCTTTAACACCATTTTCATTACAGCAGCTCACATGGTGAGGTGACATCATTATAAATTTAATAGTATTTAATAGTCATGTAGTAATGTACTATTCTAAAAAATCATTAGCTTTGCTTCTGCTATGCTTATCATTTGTGGGGTAGTAAAGTTACATTTACTGTATATATGTGATTTGAATCTCATAGTTCACAATAAATTGAATAAATGAACACCATCCAGGATCAAGGCTGTGAGGTATTGTCTTGTATCAGGATTATAGAATATCTCTCTCTCCATTTGCTGATTAACCCCAAATGTACATCGAAGGTTATCTGTTCTCTACAGAAACACAAAGTGTTTATTATCAGCTCTGTAAGGGGCCTGTGCTGTCTTCACAGAACTAGTATGGCATACTGTAAATAAAAAATGTTGAAGTTTAACATGAAGGGATCTGTCCTGTTCAATCCAGGTACTTGCTAAAGCCGGACTTCATGCGACGCCCTGACCGAATGTTTGATCCTTTCTCAGAAACCCCTGTGGATGGTGTGATTGCAGCTACCTGTAGTGTTCAGGTAAATCACACTTTCTATTCAGCTACATATTGAGGCTTCAGTGTGGCCAATAAAAAAATTATATAAAAAGAAATCGGTCAATTAAATTAATCATTCATGACATTCAGGACATATGATTTAATTAATTGTATAAACATATGTAAACACCAATTTTTTTAGAATTCAACATTTAACATTTTTTTACTACAAAGTAGTTTTACGTTATTAAAGTTACACTTTTAAAAAATCATGTGGTTGAGCATGATAGCACAATTTAAACTATTATCATTCTATGTGAAAATACAGCACCTCAAATTTAATAAGTGAATATATAAATATAAGTATAATACAACTTCAAGACCAGAATTAGACACCACATTCTTCTTTTATGTCTCTAACTGACCTCATTAAACAGATTTATGTGAGTAATTTTATTCTACAATTGTATATTAAATCATTTTCAAGGAAGGTGGCATTAACTTTATCCTTGCTTTTTTTCAGTATGTACTGAATAAAGGCTTTGTGGTACTAACATAATTCACATTTTTGTTTTTTATACTGTTGTTTCAAAGGTTTTTTCAGGTCAGTTTTTATCAGACAAGAAGATTGGCACCTATGTAGAAGTTGATATGTATGGACTACCAACAGACACCATTCGGAAAGAGTTTCGGACAAGAATGGTAATGAACAATGGTCTGAATCCTGTTTACAACGAGGAGCCCTTTGTGTTTAGAAAGGTCAGTTACCTTTAAATTTCTTTATTTCAAGACCCTGTTCAGGATTCAATGACAGGAACATAGAATAGGAACACAAACAAAATAGCAGCATTGCATTTGTGGGTAAAGACCTTTTGAAGTCTGTAAATGAAGCAAATAATTAGCACAAATGCAGCTGACAATTTCAGGCGCCTCATACTGTAGGTTATAGTTTTTATTTGTGTACAGTACTTTGATTTCAAATAAGATGGGTTTAAAGGCTTGGTGATCTTAGATTTAATAACTCTGTACTGTTTACACAATATTGCAAGTCTGCCAGTGCAACTACTACAGTAAACCTACTGTATTTGCAATGGAAAATATTATTGTGTTCATTCCAAGGAAACAGATCTTACGAAAGTGTCTGATAAACTTTTTTTCATCATTATTCTTAATAATTTTAAGGATTTGTTCTACCAGCAATTTTTAACTTAGCAGCATATCATCTTAATCTTTTTTTCCCACATAAAAGAGAGATTTCTTTCTTTGTACAACAAATAAAATTAGTGTCTGTTTTGGTGGTATTGGTATTCAATCAGTACTGTATATCAATATATCATATAACAGGGGTCACCAACCTTTCAGAAGGGGCATGCCAAGAGTTAGCTCATGCACTTGTTTTTACAAATTTGCTTCACCTTTTTTATGTTGAAAATTGCCTTACTTACACATTTAATTAATAAGAAAATAATACTGAAATATATTACTATCTTAAATTAATACATTAATATAGACATCTTACTCTTTAGTGTGATCATTGCTCTTGTTTTTTCCTTGACGAGTTCTCCAATCCCAGGCTCATAGCCTAAGCCTTTAAATAGCATGCAAGCCTCTGAGAGTTCAGTTGTTATCAGTCTAGGGAAGGGACAAAATTGACTTCATGTGTGAAAAAGTCTGTTCACAGAGGTATTTTGATGCAAACGCTGAAAGCAGTGCAAATGCCACTCTCTTCAAACAGTCAAATTTCACAGGTAGGGACTTCCAGCCTGATAGAGGTTGTATTAGTCGCTTATGTGTTTCATATTTGTAACCCTCCTTCCACCACATCTTTGCCCTTGCAGCAGCTCCCTGGCTCATCCTATCATTTAAAGCAATGAGGTTCCAACAGCCCCGTCTTCACAGATTTGTTCTCTTAAGCCAGGCGTGTAAATGCCATTAAAGCCCACCAATTTAAATTATGTCTCTTCTCCATCTTAATGAGGATTGGTCTGATCTACTGAATTGAGGGGAAAGTATTACTCTTTGCTTGATTTGAGGCATTGTTGTCATTATGATTATACATTTCTGATAAAAATTGTTAATTACTGTTAAGACAGACATGGAACTGTGCTTCATTGTAATATAATTTTGTTCTTGTAATTTCTGCACATCACATGTATCTAAACATAAAAGTAAGTCTATAAATTGTTCAGTAATCATCACTGAGAGCATTCAAATGCAGCCTTGAATTAAATTTGTTCAGTTCTTACATACTGTATTTAAACCACTGCATGCACTAAACCAATGAGGAACTATAATCACTGGAGAGCAACTTTAAAATAAATTAGATAAGGGCCTTAGCGCTTATTGTTATTTCTAAAAAATAAGAGTTTAATAATTTTACTTAAATATATATATATATTTTTCATTAATTGTATATCAAATATGTCACAGGCAACATACTACAGGTTCACGCTGATTGAAAGAGAGGCGCCTCCCTCAGCACCTGCAAGGAGCCAAAAGAAAATGTGTAAATAAAAAAGAGCAGTTAGAATAATGGATGCCTTTAGGGAGAATCACCTTAATTAAATTGGTTATGTGACTCTGTTATGAAACAACAGTCCCTTATTTATTGTTAACCTACCTTCCAATAAAATAAGCTTCAGTGGCAATAAGAGGAGAGGCATGTGGTGCCTCTTGACTAACCCCAGCCATGGTAGGTTAGACACATTACACAGGCTCAAACCAGTGACTGGACCATAGCACTCAACCTATAAGTGAACCAGAGCCTTTAGTGGTATTGGTTAGCCCACTCAGGAGAACGGAGAATCTAGTAGAGAAATGTAGCCTAGCCTCTGAAGCAGACAGTATCGTTTAACTTACAATTCTTGTCTCCACTGTGCAGGTGATTCTTCCTGACCTCGCTGTGCTGAGAATAGCAGTGTACGATGACAATAACAAGCTGATTGGTCAGAGGATTCTCCCACTAGATGGCCTTCAGGCTGGTTACAGACACATCTCACTACGAAATGAAGGCAACAAGCCTTTATCATTGCCAACCATATTCTGTAACATTGTGTTAAAAACATATGTGCCAGATGGATTTGGAGGTAGGCCGGAGTTGATATACATGTAAAAAATATATACATTGCTTCAAAACATTTCCTAACTTATTTACTACTTCATTATAGTTAGAAATTGTGCTGTATTTCCAGTAGGGTTATTTTCATGTGACATCCTTTTTGAAGTTTCCTTTGGTCAAGTCTGTACATGTTTGAAAACAGTAAATCTGCCAAGTACAAATCAAGATGTGCTGCTTTTCATGAAGCATCCTAGCTGCTAAGTTTGGTTTGCCTCATCAGTCCCTCAACCATAATCTCGCTACTCCTAGAGTCTTTTCAATTTGCATTTTAGTCCATGTTACCACTGCATATAAATATAAATTTATAAAACCAGCTATTGAATGAGGGATCGTGATAACATTTTTTTCAGTAAAATTGAGATTTGTCTATAGAACAGTTCTCACAACAGCAGTACTTAGTAGAATTATGGTTAGTCCTAATATAAATACACTACACTGAGAGGCAGGGACAAAACAATCAAGTGGACATCTAATGAAGGAACAGTGAATGATGGACCAGAGGGTCCATCGACCAAAGGGATGTGGGAATATGTAACAAGCTATCCAGCCATGTTGATGAACCTGATATCCCAGCCTTCAACAAATAACCAGAGATCCAGCTATTGGTCCAGTTAGCTACTAACAACAAAGTGGCCTAGATGGCCTCCACTGGTTTGAAACTATTCGTATTTCCTAACATTTTATACATATTCAGGCAAGTAAACTGGTATCAGTGAGTTGGAGAATAACGAAAATGCAATGACTGCTAACAGGACATATTTCCTTGCAAAATAAGCACCAAAAATGCAGAACACTTTGTACTTGGAAGCAGTTCCAAAACTGTCAATGCGTTGATATCCGATTGTTGAAAGTAATCATACGAATGAAAGGTTAATATGTATACTGTAAAGCAAGTAACCTTGTAAACATTTATCAAAATATGAAAATGTATCTTAAAAAATGTTTACAAAAATCATGTTTTATGTTATACACATTTGCATAAATGGATCTGGTGTTCAAATAAACCTAACCAAGATATTAATGTAATTAGATATTAAAGTATTGCGTAAAGATGTTAGAAAATGGATGAATGAAGAAATATTCAGTAAATATTGTATTGCACCTTTCTTATACTGGCATAACTATACTGGCTCATTACTTTTTTAATGAAATTAAGTTCTAAAATTAGGACATACATGTACCATCTGGACAACTGTGCATGAGGTAGCACAAATACTTGTGCATTTGCACAATTGTCCAGATGGCAATATATCTGAACATTGATTCAGTCTGAAGGGCAGAAAGGAAAAAAAAAAGTAAATATTGCAGCTGGGAAAAAGAAACTAAAGAATTGTTTACAATGTTAAGGTTTTATGTGTGACAAATTGTTTTGTCTGTAAGATAAGACATTTACTGCATAAAATGAATGATGGGTTAAGTAAAGTACTTAGTTAGGCATTGTCCAGATGCTCTTAAGAAAAAAAAATAGTGCATCTAATTGGTTCAGACATTTTCATACTAGGTGTTTCCTATATTGGGAACTAATAATACTATCCACTTAGTTCTATTAAAGCTAGATGTTGCTATTATTGATAGCAATTAGATATTAAGGTATCACCTGTCAAACAATTCTGTTTTTTACATTGTTAAATAGTAGAGTATAGTCTGTAGTCTCTATTCAACTTTACACTAATCTTCTTTTGCTGAGTTTATTTGCTTGATAGAAGACAGATAAAATCATTTAATTTCCTTGAACATCCACAAGTGCGTTATGAAATACTGTAGCTTGTTCTAAGCTGAAGATGACTGGGAGACCTGCAGATATTTCTGTGATTCAAATGCATGATTCATCTGTATGACATTTCTTCCAAATAATGGAAACTTTTGTTCATGATCAAACTTTATACACTGTACACAAGTCTCAAAAGTGTGTGGATTGAGTGAGATTTAAAAAAAAAAGATTCATGTGGCACAAATTTGATGATCTTAGCTTTTTTTTGTGATTCAGATATACAGTACCATCAATGTAAGGAAAGCAGAATACAACAGAACATTTTGATCATTGCTAGACTTTGTGTGGTTTTTAAACATTTATTTAAATATTTTATATATTTATATATATAATATTTTAAATATTTGATATTTAAATTATTAAATCAGTTGGATCAGATGTGTTAGTTTTGGACAAATATATTAAATTCCATAGTTTCCACATTCTAATCATTTCAGAAGTTTAAAAAATCTCACATATTTATCTTTTAATCCATTACAGCTGCATTAAAAATTTAATGTTGTCATGTATTCATGTCTTCATGAATGAATTGCAGTTCAGTTTCTTCTGTTTGAACACTGAATCAGACTAATCAAAGGAAGAGTACTTTTTCATCACAAAGAATGCCCTAAAAACTTCATAGAAAGACTTTATGCACCATTAAGCGACACTGTTTCATAGCTTCATTGCAGACAACCTACGGATAAAAACAATTTCACCGTTTCATAAATGAAGAAAACTGTTCTTCATGTTTATGACCTCCAGGGGATGCCGTCACTAGACTAACCTTCCCCAGTCATCTTGAATACTTCATCTGCTGTTTTTCTAGGATATTCCTACATGCTTGACATGTTTTTTGAATATCTTTCAGCTATTGTAGATGCACTTTCAGATCCAAAGAAGTTTTTATCCATTACGGAAAAGAGAGCTGACCAAATGAGGGCAATGGGTATTGAAACAGTAAGTACTATTTTTTCATCTTTGTGGTGTAAAATCATGTGTGATATTTAAAATATATTAAAGCAGCAGAATTGTGTTATGCAGGATTTTTTTAACCTGCCTTATCCATGTAAAAAATCATTTACATTTCATACACTTCAAAATTTCCTTTATGATTGAGAAATATCCTTGTAAGTGAGTAGTCCAAACTGAAATTTGTAGTGTTTCCCACTTTTTTTCTTCTGGTTGTTTGTCAATGCCAGATGTATTGTCAACCAGCTTTTGAGACTGTTCTCTCATCAAACCACTTGCCTAGCAGATCTGACCCTGACATCCTCCTGGGATATAAGGTTCAGATGTGCTCCAAGGGTTAACTTCTGTTTTTAAATGGTTCACTGAAACCATTTCACTCTTCTTTAAATTACCATATCAGCTGGATTTGAACCCTATTAGGTCAAAGGCAAGAAATGGTATTGAAAGAATTTAAAATACCTTTTATCTTAAGAGCTTCTCCCAGTAACTAAAACACATGAATATAAGTCTATATGGTGAGTCAGTGTAACCTGCTGAATACCACATCTAAAATAGTAGTCTCACATCATGATCAGGAACCAAAATCCTTCTGGCCATGCTGGGAAGCAGTAGTGTTGTTCATTTATGCAGTATTCTCAAGCTTTTTAATGTTAGCAATATTTCAGGAACTCAAGCTTACATCTAATTTGCAGGATAAATAATATTTTTTTTAATAGCTCGTATTGCAACCTCAAGTAAATACAGTGAAGTACTTTTAACCCCTCATTTGCCATTTTCCTTCATTTTTTCTGCATTTAGAGTGACATTGCAGATGTGCCAAATGACAGCTCAAAGAATGATAAGAAAGGGAAGGTTAACCAAGTCAAAGCCAGTGTGACACCTCAGAGCAGTTCCGAGTTGAGACAAAACTCAACTGCCGGTCAGACCAATGTCAACGAAGCAAAGAAAGGTTAGGAAAATTTAAATGCTATTAAGAATCTATATTTGTGCTTTGAGACAAAAGATTTTCCTTTCATGTTTCCGTAATGGGATCATAGTTTTCATAATACATTTGTATTTCTCAATAAATCGAATGACATAACTGTATTGGTGCAAACCAAGGACTATGCAAAGAATCTTGATCTAATTTAGGGACATAAGAAGAGAATTTTACATTGTCTTAATGCAGTATATTCATTTTGAACTATTCTAAAATATTATAAGATTATTACTCTACCACATATTGAGCCAAGGGGATGAATACATATTCAATCAACCATTTTCTGTTTTATATTTAGTTTAATTTAGGAGGAGTTGTAAAATTTTGTTTTCACTTTGACAAAGAGAGTGTTGATCAATGGAAAAAATCCCAGTTAAATACATTATGATTCCATATAATAACAAAATAAAATGATTTATGAAAGTCAGTATGAAACTTTAAATGTATAATATGAAACTTATAATTTAGCAAGAGACAATATAGATGTCAAATATAATTTATATATAACATTTTTCCCACCCAAACAAATGTGAAATTATGAAATTTGTGAAATTTCAAGAGTATTTGAAAATAGTATGTGTGATGTAAAATTTGCATTAGAGCAAAAAGGTTAAGTCTAAATGTTTTTTATTTTTTATTTTATTTTTTAGTAATATTTAAACATTTTGTGAGGAAGGTATAAATGGTTTAAGAATGTAACATAAGAATAAACCTTTAGATTGCTTTGTTAAAAACTTATTTTCTTTAATTCCAGACACAGCTGCACTTGTGCCTCAGGTTAATATTGATGACTTGAAACAGATGAAGGTAAATTCTATTTTCATCATGATTGATTAATTCAAGCCACGTTCTCTTCGTACTGCTGACTGAGCTGCTTTCAGTCCACTAAGATAATGGGAAGTGTTATGTGTGCCGTAAAATTTTGGACATTAAATATATAAATTTCACATATTATAAACCAATCTTCCATCTTCTACAGCTCTGTCACACATGACAGCTTTTATTCTCAACCCCTCCTGTTCTCTTTTCCTCACATCCTAGTATTTTAGCAGTCTGTCGTCTTTGTTCTGTGAACATTGAACAGCTGCTGTAATCTTCAGCTAGAGCCACAAAAAGCAATAAATGTACATGATTAGAGTGTTAAAGATAAAAATCATTAGTTTCTTATTCTGTATTTTTTAACCTTTTAAATCTCTTCCATTATGTGATCCTCTCTTCAATCATTTTTATTTGACTAAGTATTGGTATCATTTTTTTCCCAGCTGCAAATATGATATTTCCAGTGTGTCTCAAAAATACTAAAGATTTGCCAGTACACTTTTCATTTGGCCTCTGAAGGGTCACAAAATGGAGCAAGGTTTATTACTTATTTCACTATAATCATACATTGAATAGACATTATAAAAACATTGTGAGTTTTTGTAGAGTATATTTAGTCCCCTGTTTCCTGCGGTCTTTTAGATGGTTACCTAGAAAGTATGATGTCAGATTTTCCTTAATCAGGTGTGTGAGTTTGTGAATCCCAAAACTCTACAGTCAGACTGATAATACAGTATTTCATAATACCTAGTGGCATGACATGACTCTTAACAATTCTTACTTCCTTTTAAATGTCATCTGTCAATTAAAAAAAGTCTTGGGATTCATATCCCCTGAATATATATCTAATCAATGGTCACTGAACACCACTTGTCATCCATATTCAACGGTATGTGTACCTTACACATAATTCAATTTTCTTGTTCACACATGTGTATGAATTTATATATCATTTAAATAAACATGTTTTGAAAACAAAACAAAACTTGAAGGATAAAATAAAATAATATATACATTTCCTGATTTAAATTTATCACTGCTGCACCAAAATAAAACAAGTCTGTTTTCACCAAGGATAATAAGCATGAGCATGCATGCATGCTGCAATAGGATTCCTTAGTCATTTCATAGTTTTTCTAATAGAATTAATGTTATAGTTTGTTTTACTGTTGACAAAATGCAGGGATTTAAAAAAAACATGTTTTTTAACAGACATACCTTAAGCTGATCAAGAAACAACAGAAGGAGCTAAATGCCTTAAAGAAAAAACATGCAAAGGTAAGGTACAAAGTGTATTTATTCACTTATTAGTAAAGGATTTAAAAAGTATTGCATTAGCAGGCATAGCGATTGCAGGTGGGTTCATCTCAACGTCTAAGAGCTGCCTCTGCAAGATATTGTCTATTAGCATTCAGTTGCATCATACTTATCATCATCCAGCAGTAATTTTTAGTGCTGTACAGGGTAGTTGTACTGACCTTTTGTGTCTCAAGTTGAGGAAATACAAAATATGCAGTAATAACACATCATTGCCTAGATAATGTTTCTGTACAGGCCTGATTTACATTGCTGTAGAGTAGTGAAACTGAGAGCTTAGTCACATAGAAAAAGCACTTAATTGTATTGAGCTGTAGTGATTGCCTTTATTCAGTTGGTTTAGCATATCAGATTGCATGCAAACATGCCTTGTTTTGTTGCTTTATTTCTTGTGATCAGTTGTACCCAGAAATAAACATTTCCATCTTTACATTTTAAAGCTGTTATGAGTTGAATTGCATTTAAGGTTATTTGAAATAATGCAAAAAAGGGTTATCTAAAAAGTACATAAGTGGCACAGGTTTTCAGAATGCATTTGGCAATTTAGTTAATTCAAATGAAATAATATACACTGTAGCTACAAATATGTGACCTTTAAGCAGGCTTTCAGAAAAAAAAATTCTTTCTGATTTAAGGTTTCCAGTTTTATTTGGTACCAAAATACTGTTAAGTATATACATATCATACCCTATAGGAATTTTGTTAAATTTCTAGCAAAATCTAAACAAAAAGGTCTAAGACGAGTAAGGTGATTGAATGGTCAGTACTAGATTTCAGAGGCAGCCAGATACAACTTCAGTATTTTTAATATTAATAAAATGTAACCTTTAGAGTTCCTCTGTGAAAACTAACAGTTTACATAAATAGTTTGTGGCTTCTTTTCAATATTAGCTGAATATCGTCTACTTTTTGAGAATTTAATGCAAAAGCTATTTGTGTAATTAGTAAATTACTCTTAATCTTAATGTGCAATACTACTGTGTTCAGTAATAGTAATAACACACAATGAGTGTGAAGATAGTATAACTTTATATGTGTTTTGATTGTATTTTAGACCTAAATTAAAAAGGCTTCAAGTCAATAAATATGCATTTTCTGGTTTTTAAATATGAAGTGGCACTTGGTACATGTGAATTGTATTAGTGCAGGTCAGTCAGCTGTCTATGATGTGGAACTTTGGTTTAATAGCAATGAAAAGGAAGGAACGTTTAACTGATCTTGGAAGGTAGTTAAAATAGTAAAATCACTATGTGAAATTTGCTGCTAGAGATAACTTTTTCCCCAGTGAATTCAATGTATTTATTTGGGTAATATAAGAGATTACATTGTGCTCACATACTGTAGCTGTATAATTTTTGGAATAATAGGAACATATTACATATAACATATTAAGTTACAAGGATCATGTACTCTTATATCATCTGTTGGTTTCCGTTATTTAATTATGTGTTCTGTGTCCTTTTTATATGTAATCTGTGGATGATCTGATATCGTTCCTACTTAGAATTTTGATTATGATACTCTGTACACTAAGTAAATGTACTAAGATAAACACAAAGAGAAGAAGGAGGTGAAAAAAAGACAAAGAGAAGAAAAAGTGTGAGCTCCGTGACGTTGCCCCCCCAGACAGCACAAACAAATAAACCCACCTCATTTGTTAGTCCTATGTTTGTGCCTTTGAACGTAGCATTTGTGCTACAATTACAGAGCCAAAACAAACAAAAATTGTGTCACTGTCCACATTCTTATGATCTGCACTGTATATAATTAAATTAGCATGATGTCCATCTAGTGTTTAGAATATTTTTATTCTTTAATCAAATCATTTTCTTCAGTAAAGATTCTTCTTTTTTGACTGTAATGAAAAACTACCCTTTTATTTAGTTGAATATTTTCATATGATTACAAATACACACTGAGTACCTGGTTTGAAATATATAATTTAAACATTTAGTCTAAAGTACTAAACAAAACTGGATCACCAATAACATTAATACAAATGAACCTTGAACAGGAACAAAATCATTCTTTTCTTAGTGTTTCTTTTTTTGTTCAGTTAAAAAATTAGAATTGAATGTGGACGCCCTAAAACTTGAACATGTTCATAATGTTTATGTAGTATGCTTTTTTTTAGGTTATAATTAATAAATTGGGCATAATTAAGGCACAATTGATAAGATTAAATCTGATAAACTGAATAGAGGACAGCTGTCTGATCTGCCAGCTCTATATTCTAATATGTCAAATTAACAGATAGAGCATTATTTGATATCAGGGTTCCCTAATGGAGAACCAGTTACTATATATTTATACCAAGATAAGAAACTTCACAGTGGTTATGTGCTGCAATTGGTACAAGATTAAATTTGTGTACTGCTGCTTTTTATGTGTGCTTTATTGCTTTTGGTATTGTAGTAAAGGTACTTGATTACTGGAAGGTAAGTAAGCTGTAAAATCACCAGTTAGGTGTTATGGAATTATGTTGGAAGTGCAGTAGTTGAAACCTGTTTATCTGTGAGGTGCTTGTGTGCTGTGAATCTCAGTGTCTGTCAGTGCTCCTGAACAAGTAGACTCTTTCAGGAATGTAATTGTAGTCTAAGCATCAACTTACCACTTTATGCATTTATGTTTTAGAAAAATAAAACTGGGGTTAGGAGAGAGTGAAACAATGATGTGAAACAAGATCGTTCGTGGGATTTTAATGTGGGTGGAGAATATAACAGGAAAACAGATGAACAAATGAAAGGTCTGCGAACAAGAAGAGGACATTCGACTCATCATTCTAGTTTGGTAGCTTCGTAAATACTGATTGTAAGAATGAACTGACTGCCAAAACTGTACCATTGGAATAGCAGACAGGTGCAACAGATTGTAATTTTCTTCCAGGACCACAGTGCTATGCAGAAGTCACATTGCACCCAAGTGGACAAGATTGTGGCTCAGCATGACAAAGAAAAACTGACCTATGAGAAACTTTTGGAAAAAGCGATTAAGAAAAAAGGGTAATTTTTTTAATTCTGTTTTTTGTGTGGAAAAACGGCATTCCTGAATCTGAACATACTGTATATTCATATAAAGTCATACCAATTGGACTAAGCAGTAATTCCTGAACTGTAATCATTTTGTTGAGTAATCGTTTTATATGTTTCTTTATTAGCCCTATACAATTTCTTGCATTAGGAATGCGTCTTTTCGCATACCCCAGCTTTTCTCCATGGAGACACAGACAGGGAGAGAAGCTTGGGGTCAGAGCACAGGGTCAGCCATTGTATGGCACCCCTGGAGCAGTTGAGGTTAAGGGCCTTGCTCAGGGGCCCAGCAGAGTAGGATTCCTCTGCTGGCCGCAGGATTTGAACCAGCAACCTTCCAGTCACAGGCGTAGATCCTTAGCCACAGAGCCACCACTCAGCCCGTATTTCATATTTATATTTATATGTAAATATGAAACACATATTTCATATGTGTTTCATATTTACATACAGTAAATATACAGTATTTACATACAGTAAATATGAAACACAAAAACTCCTCTTGTGGAATTTTCAAGAAAACAGAGCAACCCCTAATCTTAAAACATAAGTCAAAGAAAAGGCACTTTCTGAAAATACTTTTTTTTTTAATCAATTGTAGAGAAAACAACTGCCTTGAACTGAAGAAGGAAACAGAAATTAAAATCCAGACACTAACATCAGACCACAAACTAAAGGTAAATGTTCAGTTATTAGAAATAGTTAATCTAGGTTTGTCTTGGTCATGCTATCTTTTTGTTAATCCCTCAGCTTCATTTATTGAAGAAATGCTGGAGCTGTCTTCCTTTAAAGCCTGTTATGTAAAGTTTGTTTTTGTTTTTTCCTGTACAAAGCCTATCGGAGTAAGGTACTTAAGGCTTTGCGTTAGATATGGAAGGTTATGCATTCAAATTACAAGTACAGAAATGCTTTTGTACCTTAAGCAAGGAAAGTTTATGTATATGTCTTAAGTAAAACAGCTGTTTAACAGCACAGCTGTAAAACGTTATATAAATATCTTTTGATTGTGTTTTTTTTTTGGCACTAGTTGCTTTTTTAAACCATCAACCAAACTAATGAATAGCAATAACTGTAGTTTACCATCCAGGTGACCATTTTAGATTATTTATTTGACTATTTTCTTAGTGACTGCTTCTTTTTATTCAGCTCTGCCACCTGGCTGCGAGATGTTTTACTACACCGGTTTTTCTCTGGCAGGTGAAGGAGATTGTTGCCCAGCACACCAAGGAATGGTCAGAGATGATCAACTCACTCAGTTCAGAAGAGCAGGAACTGAGAGATCAGCATGTACTCCAGCAATGTGAACATCTCAAGAAACTGTTGATTTCAGTACAAGAACAGCAAACCCAACAACTTAAGCTCATCCATGACAGGTGAGAACAAGTGTACATTTAAGGTACAGTTTTTTTAATAGTTTCCCTTTTTGTAAGTGAACTTTTGGTTTTGAGTTTGGATGAGCTTTCAATGTGTAAGTAGGAAAATTCCCGTTTTAAGCCTCCAGAATTTAACAGATCTTAGACTAAAATGTTTCAGAATGTACAAGCCACTATTTTTTTAATTAAGAATTGCTGACATTTTTAAACCATTATAATTAAAAGATTCACTACTATACTGTATGTGAAAACAGTGTCTCTGCTTTCCCTTGTTGGTGATGTTGGTGATGGTGATGTATTTTACATGTACGGTACACTGAGCAATTCCCATAGCTAGGGGTGATTAACCAATAATAGACGCTTTTATGTCATATTTTTTATTGAATCCAGTATAGAAAACTATACAACGGAATGGAATTTTCTGATCTTCATTTAACACATAAATGATTAACATTACATAGCAGTATGACACCAGAGAGAGAATACATTTGTTGTCTTTTATTTCCTGCATTCTGACAGATAACTCGAGATCTTACAAATATACTGAGATGCATTAAAAGCACAACAAAAGCTATTAATCCTGAGAAGAATATTATGAATAAGTAGTAATATATATAAGCAAATAGTAAAGCTAAATATCTGGCAGTATTTTAAGGAGGCTATGAATGTCCAAATCAAGCCTGTACATTTTTTTTTTACATTTTGCATAAGAACATAAGAAAGGTTACAAAACATAGAGGAAACTTTGGTAGTAGTTAATTGATCCAAGGAACTCATCCAGGTGTTTCTTGAAAGACGTGTAGGGTACTGGCTTCTGCAACATGACAGAGTAGATTTTTCCATATTGTATTTTTACTGTAAGCTCAAAACAGATTTCCTCTTGTTGCATTTAAGCCAAAACAGCACGGAAGTCTCTAGCAGACAGAATTGGCAGGTGGTAACAAGATTTAAACTTAAATCACTGATGATGGATTGATTAAACATGAGCATGATGAAATGTGAGCTAGCTTTAGGTCTTCCAAAGCTGATGGTTTGAGCCCTCCCTCACCAGTTCTAGTTGGTGCCAATAACCAACCTGCTTGCTGGCTCTTCACTTCACACGTTAAAGTGCATTTTTCCCCAACAACTACATCATACAATAACATTATGAAGTCTACTACAAGACTCATATTTTACATATTAAAAAAATAGAAAGTTAAATAAATGAGCCTGTAGTTAAGAACTCAACTAGAACAAACACCAGAATACACCGGGCTACCCGGGACCAGAACTGAAAACCTCTGTACCAAGGTATTTTTGCAGGAACGAGTGCAAAAAAAAGCCTAAATCTGTAATCAAATCAGTTCCAGTTATTATATTTTTCATAATGGGTATTTTTATGCACTCTTTTGGATCAGTACCATACCATTCCAAACTGGTTAGAGCGGCCTAATGACCCCCTGACATATAACATTTCTATAACATTCTCTTATAACATTTCTTATATATTGAGCATTTTGATTTTACTGAACATGATCATTATTATAAATTCTCTCTCCAAGTTAAAACAAATGTATTCAGTAAACTGTATGTTTAAGGGACGTTTGATGGATTTTTCTATATCTTTGTCAGTTATTGAGCAGTAGCATGATATGCATATATTCACTTAGTTTTAATAAACTGTTTGAAATAGAATATCTGTATCTTGGCTTATCACTATTGTAGGTTTATATAAATACTTATTGAGCAGAACTAGCATAATTCAGGCTGTGGTGATACAGTAATCAGCATGCTATACTTAGTAATAAAACTGAATTCTATAGGGATTTTTGACAATGGATCAGTACTTTTTATTTTGCTGTGCACAGTTAATTAATACCACTTGAAAACTGAACACAAAATGCAGAAAGGCTTTTGAAGTACAACAAAGATAATTTGCATGCTGCTGAATGACACTTCTGCTTGGCTTTGGTTTTCTGAAAGGTTTTATTTCCAGTTTCATTATCTCATGGTCTTTCATTTCTTTTATGATGAAGTCCACATTTCCATGTTAGTTAATTGGTATCGTCAGTCTTGATTTAGTCTGTTATTGTAAGGATTTCTGTTTCAGTACAACTAAAGCTTTAAAAATGAATGAATTGAATTAAAAAATAAAATGCCTACCTACCAAGATTCTGTTGATTTGTTTTTGATAATTTGGCTTGTTCGGTATCTGATTATTACACAATTTGTAGCTATTCTGTTAATTTAAAATGATATGTGAATGCATGAATATTAAATATTTAAAACTAAATACAATTACAATGCTCTGAATTAATTAATATTATTTATTATACACAGTATATTCAGTACATTGTATATATAAACAAATCATTTGAGTAGCCTAGTTTGAATTGTCATGATATAAACAAAATATATTAGTTATACTTATACACGTGTTCAGATTACCAATATATTATTTAAAAAAATCCTATTTTCTTTATTGTGGAAATCACATTGAGTGTCTGTGTTCTCCAATATTGATTCCAATACTAAGATCGTAATTATTATGCTCTCATATGTACTGCAATTACCAAAGCATACAGAGCATATGTTCTTCATCCTAATATTGCATGGATGTTCAGGGTTTTTTTTGTATGTGTAATTTAAACATTATTTGAATTAAGAAACCCTGTCAAATCTGTGAACTGATTATGTTTGCTGGAGTTGTATCTGGATTATTTTAATTCATTGCTGTTGTTTTAAAGACAGAGCAAAGACATGCGTGCTAACCAAGCTAAGACATCCATGGAAAACAGCAAAGCCATCAGCCAAGACAAATCCATAAAAAACAAAGCTGAGCGGGAGAGGTAAGTTGAAACATACTTTATTTGACAGGAAGTCAGAAAAACTGTTTACTTGAATAGTTGAAGGCTTTAGAAGGCATATTGACGTTTGAACTATTGTAAATCATCATAAATGGATTTTGTTGTCAGAATTTGAAAGCATATTTATTGCAAGTAAGAACATTTATTTTTGTGTCCTCCTTTGGAAGTTGTTTGTTAGCCAAGTTGAAGAATTTAATCAATAATTAAAGCAATTAGTCACAGTTTTCTTTGTTACTGTAGGTATCATCTGTCCATTCTCATACTGTACTTGTTTTGAGATTCCTAATGCTTTTTTTCTCCATTATCATAGTCAACTAACAAACATCTATTTTTATCTCTTCTCATCTATTCAGTAACAAACACGGAATATTTTGGAGGAAATCATTTTTTCGGTTGGAACATTGCTTTATGTTGTTACACTGTGTGAGAATTACATAACTTTTATTTCCCTTGCTTGAAGGAGAGTCAGGGAACTGAACAGCAGTAACACGAAAAAGTTTCTCGAAGAAAGGAAAAGGGTGTGTATTTTTTTGTTTGTTTTTCAAAGTACTTCTTCACACAGAAAAAAATAAAATACTGACATATACATTTTCCAAGAAACTATTACCCCGTTCCAGTTAAACGGTATGTAGATGAATTAATTAAGAATTAATTAACTCTCTAGCAAAGTAGAACTGACATTCTTGGTGAACGTGTTTGTGTTAAATGTCCCAAATAAACTTCTCTAAAAAGTATTTTCTCCGACTACATACTGTCAAATTCTAAAAAAAAATAGAAAGATATGCTTCTATCATTGAGCAAACCAGAAGATTTCACAAACCATTTTAGCATTGGAGAGCACATGAGACAGACATGGGATATTGTTTTTTTTCAGCTTTCAGCTTAAATCTCAAGTAATGTCAGGATATCCTATAAATTTTGAATTCTGGAATATGTAGCCATAGGAACAGTCATATAAAGTTGGTATTGTTAATTGACTGTTCATTATATAAGTCGTTATCAAAGGTATATTTGTAGAACAAGTGTTGTTTAATGCACATGCATAGTGTATATAATCTACTGTTTATACAATGCCTTTGAAATAGTCACATTTTCAAAATAAACACAAACAATACACATTTTTAAGTGAATTGTTTAAACTGAACACTTTTATTGGTGAAATAATTAAATGTCAGCAAATTTAAACTAAACTATAATATTTTATCACATTAGTTTTCAACCCCTTTACTATGATAAATCTACATTTAAAATGTAAAGATCTGTTTCATCTAAAAGTGAACTTATTTGGCCAAAATAATTGAGCTGTAACAAAACTCAAAGCACATCTGGAGAAGACACAGAAGTTGATCTCCTTTTCTACATAGATGGTCACACAGAAAAGTGATGTCTGTACTGTACTTAAGGTCATGGAAAATAGTGGCTGGAGCAAAAGAAATAGTTCTTATTTTTCAGAATGTTCTTAGTGTACAGTATATCATCGTGGCTGAACTTTGTACATGAAAATGAAATGAGAACATGAGTAAATACTGTACTATATGTTGCAGCAGGGACTTTGCAAATACTTGAAGGCAAGTTTGTGGAAAATCTGGTTTAAACTAACTTCTTGCATTTGCTTTTCATTCTAAAGAATCCCAAAGGTGTTCACATATAGGAAGGGACCTGCTTCATCAATGAGAAATTACATCACCAGACATGTTAAAGGGGAAGTTTGTGTAAGATAGATTGTCCAAGGTAAAACTGAGGTCTATAGAATGCATCATAAATAACACCCCTACTCTTATGATCAGCTCCAAGGAGTCAGGAAATTCATGTAATGTCTCATTATATATACCTACAGCACCATATCTCCTTGTCCAAAGGGATGACTACCGTCTACTGGTCCACTAAGGACCACCAAAGACCACCAAAGACCATCTACAGGTCTTCTATCACACTACTAACCAGGCCTAACCTTTCTTGCTTCTGAGATTTGTTATGATCAGACTACAAGTTAGCAACTTCTAACACTGCTTTCGAAAGAATGTTACCTGAAAACATTATACTTTTTCTTTGATCAGTTGTCCCTCCATATGAATGTCTTTCTATCTCTACTACAGTGATTTTATGGTTAAGTCACTCAATATTGTTTCAGCCTAATATCTTTTAAATGATGTTTATTGATCATTAAAGAGGTATTTCATCTTATTTCTCACAGCTTGCCATGAAACAATCCAAGGAAATGGATCAACTAGAGAAAGCTCAGCATGAACAGCTGGAGTATCTAGAAAAACTAAATGAGCAGGTAGAGACCTTTATTCCTTATATCTCCTTAAATATTTTATATCCTTCAGGAGAGGAACTGCACCAAATAATATATATGTATATCTGAACACTTTAACATCTTTCAAAAGAAGCATCTCTTTATCTCAGTCTATTAAACGAAGAAATCATCAACACACAGAAAATAAGTTTGATGTTCAAAAATCATTTTCACTTTTTTTTCCATTGATTTTCATTGCTCATTGTTACATATTTTTATACAAATGTTGAAATGTTCATTTTTAATAGCAGTTGCTTTAATTTGTTTTTGTACAGCTTTTGAAATCACATCATGCAGTGTCTCAGTGTCAAGGTAGGCCTTGCCAATCCTCATCATATACTCATGACCCAGACTGATCTTTTTTTCATTTACCTTTCATTTTATTTTCTCACAGCCAAGTAAAGGAGCTTATACGTTTTATGTGTACATGAATTGATGATGATGAACAATGCTACAGCATCTGGGTTGTTAAAGTAGCTCTTTAAAGCCTGCACTTTCTATGAAAGTTTAGTGTTATGTCCGGTTAAACCCAAAGTTCTCTCCTTCACATCGGTAATTGTTGGTTCTCAGTGGAAGAGGGTAAAAGCTACTGTATAAACTGATGCAGTCATTATACATTATGTCCTCAGCTGAGGCTCCAACTGTTTTCATCATGGTTCACAAAACAAACAGAAGCTCAGAGAATGCGTCTTTCACTTTACTTCCCCATTTTTAAAGATGTGATTTTCATAGCTGGTCTTTCCAAATTTGGATCTAAAAAGGGGAAAACTACTGGCGTTTTCCAAAATCTGGAATTGCAGAATCCATCTGATGCTAGTAGAATGAAGTACAGTGTAATTTCTTTTCAAAGCCTACTTTATTTTGTTGTACAAAGCTTGACAGTTAGAGGTGCCATATCACCACTGGCCAGGATCTTCTGGTTGTGTCTTCCTGCATATTATAGGAAGATTAGTTTGACAAATGTTTCTTCCTACTTGTTGTTACTATTTAAACTTACAGCATTGGATAAACTTTAAGCTTTTACTAAGGTAATACAAGTACAACTGGCACCTTTGCTTTCAACTCTCAAATATTTCTGTGTTTTGAAATTTTCCCTTAGCAACCTAAACATCACTGATTCAGTTCCTCCTAACAAAAGGCTGTGCTCACCACGCCCTCTTATAGCTTGAGAGGCAAGTTAATTACCCACAGCTGAACCTCATCACACAGGAAGCAAGCTAGTCAGCGTTCCTGACTTCTCAAAACCCATGGACCAAAACATATTCCCTCTCTACCCCTGCTCGGCAGTACATTCTGTCACAGGGATTAATATTTTTTTACTCCAGTCTCTTAGTTGCTGTCAGTTATATTAAATTTGGAGTCTTAAACTACATAACATTGTAAGTTTAAAAAAATATTTCTCAAACTCTTCTGTTAAGAAACCTTTTTTTATATTTTAGAAATACATGTATAAAATATGCACTGTACATTGCAGAATGTCATTTTATTGTATATACTAAAAAGTTAGGAATGGTTAAATGTCATTGGAAGGATATGCACAGTCAAATTGCAAACTCGCATACTGAAAACCTGGGAAGAAAATGTCCTGAATATGAATTTAAACCTGTTTTGCATCTTATTTCAAACCAGAATACTCATTTACTATAGTGTTCCAGGAAACTAGCCTTGTAGTCTGTTGTAAACACCAATCCACAAATATGAGTAGCTTCATATGATAAACACTGTAAAAAACAACTTATGAGATTTCATAAGGCACTGTTAGACATTCATTTAGGATTTTGCATTTCTTTCTAATTTCCGGTCTCATTTGCAAGAGCACCCAGGTCAGTGTGGGTGGCATACATGAAATAATTACAAGGGATGTATTCTCTTTCCAGTTGTCAAGATAATACATTTCTACTGTAGGAGCGGGATATAATACAGTATGTGAAAGATGATTTTGTTAAATAACAGTATGATATGGTGTTTTTTTTTATGTCATGAGAGTTTTCCCCGTTGTTGCAGTGAGATGAGGTTTTAGACTGGGGTGTAAGTTTTTGATTTATGATTTTCAGGCAAAGGAGATGCAGCAGATGGTGAAGCTGGAAGCGGAGATGGACCGCAGGCCAGCAACAGTGGTGTGAAGTACCCCCAGACCAACTGAGACAGAGAAGTGTGCCGCACACAGAGGAATGCTGCAAAATCCCTTCTTCTCACTTTCTGTTCTCTGGCTGATGAGGTTCGGAGCTATTTGTTACAGTGACACAATCCCTTGACATAATACTTAAGCTCTTCGAGTATGAAACATGCCCATGTGGTCTGCTGCTACATACAAAAAAAAGAAGAAAGCAAATTCAAGGAGGTAACAGAATTACTTTGACAAAGCACTTTGAGAATATTATTTTAATCATTTATTTTTTAGCATTTTTCAATGGCCAAATAGTCTTTAAATTTCTGTTGGAAATGTTTAACTGTTTCCCCTTTTAACGTTAATAAACCATTGTTTTAAGTACATATACTTAAGAATAGCTGTTATATTTTCAAAATAATTGTTTTAGAGCTTTATTATTGTTAATAGTTTTAATTTAATGAGTCATCAGGTACATCGAAAGAATGTTATGCTGCAACACAGATTGTGAGGCTTTTGGTTACAATTGTATGTTAAATCTGTCAACAATATCTGGATGATGTGATACTCTAGACTTAAGTATTATGTCATGAGCACTTTAAAAATCTTAGGCTGTGAAAAACATCTATCCTTCATTTTCTGATAATCAGACGTAGCAATGTACTTGGATTGCGGGTTTCTTAAGAATGTGAAATGCTAGAATATTTTATGGTAGAGTAATGGGAAAATATGTTATATTTATAAACCTAAACTAAGTAATTGATATAAAAAATTTATACAATGTAGCTGTTTTTGGAGCCATTGTAGGAGCTGGGTTACCTTACCAGAATTGCAGTTTGATTATGATTTGCAATACCATGCTATCCTTTTTCATACGTACTGTATATGTGTGTTGACAAGAAAATACCACTGAATTCCTATACCTGAATACAACATGAAGGCACTGAGATCTGAATAGGTAAATGTGGAGATCCACTCAGTTTGTTAGCTTGGAAACAGACCTAGCAACTTTGTTATAATTTAAAACACATTATATTATTGTGGTAGGGAGTAAGGTTAAAGAACATGAAAAGGGTAACTCATTTTTACTTACATTTTGCTGTATTACGTAAGTGCCATGTACTTCAATGCTTAATGTTAAATTTTACAGAAAATATTCTATACTTCAAATGCATGTATACACAAGAAACTTGATCTTTTATCAGCAGTGATGTCTATTGTCCATTAAGAAATCATTTTTCTGTCTTTTTAAGAATTTTATAAAAAATCTGGGAAAATACCTGAATAGATGGGACTAGACAGGCTTATAACAAACTTCCAATTTAAATTCTCTAGTAGACACAGGACAGCTATTACCGATTTTATAAACAAGACACTGGACTGTAGAGCCAAAATAAAGTAGAGGTTTAAAGTTTAACAGAGTTTTCCTACAGTGTTTATTCTAAATATGTTTAAATAAAGCTTTTTCTAACAGAAAAACTATGTGAATTGTCTTAACAATGGACATCAGATTCTTTAATATTACAATACCCGAAAAGTAAACTCCAAAATGTACTGAATGTGTAGTAAACAAATGCACATAATACATTTAATTATCCAGTTAATTTTTTATCATTCTGTTATTAGGTGAGGTATAAAATCAGTTTGATGCATCAACTGCTCATTTATTTAGTAGGTTGTTTTCTTCAGAAGAGTGCATATATGTGCTGCATTCAAAAATTATACATCGTTGTTTTGGATGTTAACCTGTTACATCACATGATACATCTAGAGGAAGCTGTACATTGATCAGGTAATTAACACTGGTATTGTGGTGAAAGCCATATCAAAATAATGAAAATTGTAATTCTTGAGTGCAGTTTGACTTGAAATAAATACTTATTTTGGATAGCCAAGAGATTGCTGATTTTCTACTAAACTGCCTTTCTGTTCAACATAACACCAGAAAGCCAATGATTACCATGCTGTCTCACTGCAGATTCAGTTTGGGATGGGGGATGGGATACTAAAGATTAATGCAATAAATGTTGTATGTGGGAGATGACTCATTTAATTTGAGTTGACACACTTTTCAGCAAACATACAATATTTTGTTGAAACATGTTACATCTGGTACACACATGCATTACTGGCGTGGCAAAAAAGATTAGTACTGTTGCCCATCTACATGTCATTCTATACTTTTCTATGTCTGAGTTACTACATATTATGCTAGTTTATTTTTAGACTCCATTGTCATATTGAAAAAAACGTGGTTACTATTATACTACAATGAAGGAAATGGCAATTAATGTACCCACTACAGGGATTTTTTTTTCTTATTTTAGGCAGCTGTATTAATAAAGTTTGTTGATGGGTACTACTGTATGTTGACCATGGTTTGGATTTTTGAATTTGTAAATGGGGTACAAAGTTCAACACCACAATATCCAAAAAAAAGCTCTTTAATAAGGTATACCATAAATATACCATCTTCCTAGAATTTTCTGATGTTACTTTTTTATTATTGTAGTGAGCTAAATTATATAGTGAAAATCTACTGTAAATATGTACGTAGTCTAACATTTTAGACCAAATGTGTTTTACGGCATATCAATAACCTAAGGGCTCTGTGGTTGTGTTAATCCTTGAACAATAAGGATATGTTTGTTGTTGGGAAAGCAAAGTATCAGCCATGTGGATGTTATTTTATTTTCTCTTTCACTCCATCTACTGATATTATAAACATAGTTTCGTCTACATATCTTCTGGGGTATTAGGTGTAAAAGTGCTTTTAATTCATTGCTTTCAGGTGTGTCGCTGATTATGTCTTAGAAAGTCATTTCATTTAAGAGCAGAGTAATAAATGCCAAAATAAGAAGTTATTTATAATATATATATATAAAATGGGTATTATAAGAATATATAACAGTTATTGCTGTAGATTATCTTTTCACTGGTTGTATGTTTTTTGTTGTGTGACTACATGTAGAATTTGCTTTGTAGGTTTCTTGTACAATTAGATTACTTTGCAAATATAATTGCATTTACTGTGTTTTTTTTCTATCTTAACCATAACTTGGTAAAGGAACGTCAGTTGCGTGTTTTTGGTTCTTTTTTTTTTACTTATACAGCATTTTGTTCAATTTCTAGGAAGGGAAATATCATTGTTCTCCTGCTACTTTAATACTGTTTTATAGTATATGTATCAATAAATAAACAGAATTAAAATGGGACTTTGGCTACATAGTTTATGATTGGTTTAATTGAAAGCTTTATATAATATTTCTTCAACCATCAAAAAGAGATGAATAACCAAAAACCAGTCAATATGCTATATTTTAGGAACGTATGTAATGCTTAGTGCACTGGTAGACTGTAGTTAAAAGTATTCAGTTGTCTTCAGTTGTCTTCAATTAAAACAAGACATTCATAATACTTCAGATTTCAGAATGAGTTTTCCAACAATGTATTATGAATATATGTTTACACCCAAGTAAAATGTTAATATTTATATATCTGAACCTATGCAGGCAACAGTTATCCTGAATACTAATTTCAAGCATGAGCGGTAAAAAAAATAATAAACTGAATACTAAATATTCATGTGCATAGAGAGTATTTAAAATGTCATTATTCTATGTAATGTTGAAAGATGGAAAATAATAAGCCTTAAGCACTTATCAACAAGCACATTTTTTAGAAGAAGCCTTGTTGTGCTTGCTGTTTCTCTAACAAATTTCCCCTAGGGGGACAATAAAGCTTGAATTGAAACAGGCACTAAAGTCAGGATTTGTACCCTTTGACTAGAAAACTGTTAAAATCTATAAAATTAGTGACTAGAGTGAACAAAATAACTGAAGTAATTATGATCCAACAAGTAATATTTCTCTTGTTTGTATGGTTATAGAACTAATTTATATCTCAAAACTACAGCATACGCTATATAGAAATAATATTCCTTCTGGTTACAGGAATAAAGTCTTCATGGACCACACAAGAAAATAAAATCATCCTGATCCAATACCTCCTATTCAACTTTTCCAGCTGGATACAGCTGTACAATGCAGAAGATAAAACTAGCACTCAAGCAGGCACTCCCATGCTTTTCCCCATTTCTCTCTAGTTTTTTACCCCAGTCTTCACTGTTAAGAGAAGGTGGTATTTGGTGGTCTGACTGCAGCTGCTGTGAGGTGAAAAAACTGAGGTTTTCCCTGACAAAGCTGTGAGGTATGTGGCACACAAATCAAGCCCAAATTCCATTGACTGTACAAGATCCAGATAATCCCAATCTCACTTTTTCTTGGCTGTTAGCTGTCAACATAGTGTTCTAGGTTCAATGTGTGTCACATAAACGTACTACTAACCCTTCAATGTTTTGAGCATAAACAGTATGGTACAGTACAGGCCTCCTTCACTCATTGTCACGGACGTCCAAAGGGACTAACCGTGGGGAGCAGGAGAGCAGAAAAAGACCCATATGCGTAGCGGCGAGACGGGAAAAAGGCCCGGGCTTATTAGTGCAAAGAGTTCAGGAATGCCGTATAGAAACCTATGCCCTCAGGGAGCGGACGTGGGGCGCCCTGGTGCTAGGCGGGTCTCAGGACATCCGAACATCAATGCTGAGCCAGGACAGAGTGCAAGACCCGGAAATATATAGCCCAAGGAAGAGAGGGACAGGAAGGACAGCAGACCGGAAACTAGGGACAGGACAGAGAAGGAGCGCCCTCTGGCTGCAGAGGGCGTGACACTCATAGCTGTTGACAGCTGACACATTATACCAAGCACCTGACACCAGTAGTTACTGGTGAAATGAGTAGGTCACTCAGTTTGTGTAGGCCCTCAGACTCTGAAGAGGATAAATATACTGTCTAGGGGTGCTGGCACTCTACACTCTGAAATGCTTTCCCTACTCTGTCCACAACAAAGCAGCTGGCATGTACACTCCCTTAAGCTTCATGGAGTTTACAGATACAGCCAATCCTGAGCGCAATCAGTGGGTCCTTTCACTGCTGTGTAAGCATTGCAAGTACGTCAAAACCACTCCACTTCCCAATGGCAGTTTCCCTAGACACTTTCAACATCTTAATGACTTGTGCCAGGTTGTCCACACACAGTCAGAATCCCCCAAAGAGCCTGTGGTGCCACCATCACCAACTACTAGCCAAATCCTGCCAAGGATGCCAGATAATCCCTTTGGGTACACAGAGCCTTGACTTGCAGCGTATGGAGTGTAATTTCCATCCAGTCTGACCACTGATCCCCCCCAGCCTGCAACAGTGGACTAGGCCCAGCTCCTGGCCTGAAACTGGGATCGCTTGCACAGAATCAAGCAACAGTACTGTTACCTGATGTTTTAAATGCCCTTCCATGTACTTTCCACTTGTGTCCTCTTGGTCTTGTATTACTGTTCTGTTTGAAAAAAATCCAACAGGTTTGCTTTCTCAGTGCCTTTGAAGATTTTTAATACTTTAATTGTGTCCCCCAATTGGTCTCATTTTCTAGACCTAAACAGCTTTAGTTTTTTTTTATCCTGTCAGTATAAAACACTCCTTTTAGCCCATAAGTAGCATGTTCCAGGACCCATAACCCTCTGTGTTCTAATTTTTTCAATTCACTTCTCTATCATTTGGAATACTTCTGCTCACAATAAACCTTTACATTACTATAGTTCATATTTGGAATTATTTGAAATGGAATTCCTAATGTGTTTAGTATTTTTTGCATCCCAAAGGATTACAAAGAACTTTAAATAGATCCACCACTGTAGTGCAACACCCACTTAGGTGCAACAATTACATGCCAGCAACCCCATGTATACTATATAGCAGATGAGGCAGAAAAGTCATAAATTATTTCTCCACTTGAAACAAGGGATACATTTACAGTAGGTAGGAGAGGTATTACAGTGCTCCCTGTTGCCTTAGTGGTGCAGTGAATCAGAAATTCGGGTCGAGGAAGAAGAGTGCTAACTACATGTTCAAAAAAATCAGCAACAACCTAATTGTTTTCAGAGGTGCCCGATTCCACCACCAAACTGGCATTGCCTTGCTTAGCTTCTGATTTCTGCTGATTTACAATTTATTCAAATATTTACAATTTCCTGTAAGCAACTGTTGAAGGACTGAGGCAGAGTGTGTCACAAAATGTGGCAAGAAGGGGTGACATCCATGGTAAACAGATTCTGCTTAAAGAACAGAACAAATTTATCCAAAGGGTGAGTAAATCAAAAGCTAAGAAACAGCATCCCAACAAATCCATCCATTCATTTTCTAACACCGTCATCTGATTTAGGATGTCAGGGAAGCCAGAGCCTATCCCACCAAGCAACAAGTGCAAGGCAAGATACACCCTGTACAGGATGCCAGTCCATCACAGGGCAGACAGACACATATTCACACCCAAGTCCAATTTTTCCTGAAGCCAATTAACCTACCAGTAGGTCTTTGGACTCTGGAAGGAAACCTGAGCACACTGCGAAAACCTACACAAACAGGGAAAGCATACAAGCAGCACAGAACTACTCTCATTACATATTTATGTTTCTGAAAAATAAAGTATATATTGATTAAATGTTTATGGCATCATTTTGATTAATTATTTACAACAAATGTATGTCAACAGAATTTACACATAAGAATTCTTACACAAAAGTCACATTCCTGATAATTCTGTGAATTTATTGCAGTGCAAAGTTATAAGCCTTATAAATTATGAAGGGGTATGAAAATCATATGATTAATCATTGCTTTAAGTTATATTTTGTGTGATTTGAAATGCTTATTTGTGGCAGTAAAGCATTAAGGCAATGCCATTTCACAACTGCCTATTAGTGGCAACAACCCAATCATGAGATTGTTATTGAAGTGCAATCATTTTCAGGTTGAAATACTGAAGTATTTCCCAGTTTTGGAAAGCAAATGTACTTAGACTGATGTTTCACAAATTGGGCTACTTTGCACTATTAGAAATCTGTTGGTAGATGTGCTGATGGAAGAGAGTCAGTTTCACCAGATCAGAGTCAAAAAAGAGACAGAGGGAGATACAGAATATGAAACTTAAACGAATAAGACATAGATCTTATACCAGAGTGCCTAAAAAGTGAAGGTATATATTGCCTCTATCCTTGCTAAAGGAAAACCCAGATTTGTACTGTATTTAGAGTATATTGCATTTGCTCAGTAAGGAAATAATTTAAGTGGATCACATTATACAGTATGTGTTTTTCAGGTAAAAGGTGAAAAGGCTGAACACTTTGGTACAACACTCTTGGAGAAGAGTGCCATTGGTAGAGATGGGTATAAAAATATTAAATTCTTTTACTCTTTTAATTTTAATTAAAAAATGCTTTGCAAATCAATTGCACAATGTAATAATTGCATAAATCACACTATTTCAAAATAAACCAGTTATATATAATTATCATTATATATTAATATTCATGTTATATATAAAAGAATATGTCCACCCACTTTATTTCTGCATTCGAAGACAAAAATATTTGGTCAGTTATAAGATTTCCTTCAGCCATGTCTTGAAACATGGTAACAGATTCTATGAGCAGTTCTTCATTTGTACTGTATATACTGTAGCATTAAGGCCTATGAGCAAGTCCCACGTTACTGTATATATTGTGACTGGTAACTGTCCTTCCAGACAAAAAATATAACACTTCAGTAACACCAGAAACCAATTTTATGGCAGCAGTGGGATATTGAGTAGTCTGAGATTTAACTTTTTTTCTCAATATACTGTTAGGTTGAACACAGAACCTTGTAAGAAGATTGCAACAAAAATGTTAAGGATAAAAGTTGTGCTTTTTTTCCTTTAAAATTACAATTATTTCAAATTACAAATTAAAAAAGTTAGAAGAAACTTTTACAACAATCCCACATTTGTGAAAGATAGGCTTCACATGTGAGTCTTAAGAATTTATTCGTAAGACAAGAAAGATCAGATCTAATTCTATAAAAAGAAAGGAGTATGAAAATTGCTCACCACATTGGCAAGTAAGGATTATCCCAAGGCAGATTTTACATAGGTTTGTTTGACATGGTATTCCCCTTCAATACCGAATGCAGTCAACACCAATGGGAAAATACCCTGTTACTGATGCCATACTGAGAACTTGCACCAAATTAGTACTGTGGTGGGCCAACCATGTCATTCCAACGTTTTCTCCAGAGTGTGGGATGGCAGGGGCCATCTGTTCAATTTCAGCCTACTTTCTATCCTCTATCCAAGCGAAGCTCCTGGATCATGGTTTTTTACCGAATAAACTCTTGAATCTTAATGACTTTTGCCTTTACAATACCTGTATATGGTCCTCCCCATCCATGTTCACCAAATTAAACAATCTATAGTTGCTAGAGAGAACAAGGTCCTCTTTTGGAGACAAGAGTACCCAGAGTGGCCACCTCCCAAGTGTCTCCTCCATCTCATAACTCATACTGCAAATCACTTGCTCATGATAATTTTGGTGCCTTCTCTTCTACAAAAATGGAGCAGAACAGCCCCTGTCATCCAAACCTCAGGGAAAGGTGCAAAAAACCCAAGGAAAACATGCCTGGGTCCCCATGGGGCTATCTGATACAAGATCTCAGTATGATGTCAACAACAAGACACATCCTGACTGTTGATGACCGCATTCCTTTTAGCTGAGATTATAATTTCTTTTGCACTCTCTCATTTTCAACACAGCCGTTTCATAATATGTGGTTAGTGAGAAGCCAGCAGAGAATGGCTTGTCTGAAGCTTCAACGGCAGATGTCATGCATTCTCCCACAACCTTGGAAGCCAGGATAACACACTGGGTATTGATGCAATATTTGGGGATAACGGTGAGTGAATTGTTGCATTATCATGGTCATGAGGCTAGATCAAGAGGCAGTAATGTGAATCACATCTTCCCTTCCACAGATGTTACAGTAGAAACACAAAAAGACTTGCCAGCAACCCCAGACAATCTGCCATTCCATTGACGATACCTTTCGGCTTCAAGGTCTCTGCAGGGATGATGCTTCTATATAGGAGGTGAAAAAACAGACAGTGTTGACATAGTTGAGAAGTTACTGCAAAAGCAAGGATTTCTGGCTGACTGCAATAGAAAAAAAATATTGGAAACTGTTAACTGTTTCAACATATCGTTCACATGAAAATTGTAACAATTATATAACAATAATAAAAGCAAATCACTATATATATATACTGTATAGGTTATATTATTAGCCATATAAACATATTAGTCTGTTTTGTAGTGTGCTTCCTAAAGATATGGTGCTTCTGAATTTAAGACCACATTTGAATATGGAGAGGAAGCACCATGCTATTCCTCATAGTGGACACCAGGTCAACAGTGACGATCGTACACTCCATCCATCTTCCCATTATGTGCAGATGCACTTCACCAACCTGAAGTTAGTACAGCAGTGGAATAAGTGATCCCCATGTTCAGGGGGACCACTGCAATTGTTGAAGCAGGGAACCAGTGAATTATGGAACTGGTCTGGATTGCTCCCATCCAGGAGACATACATAGTGTCTGCCTCCTAGGGGGCCCAATGCATGGTGTTAACTCCTTCCTTCTCAGCTGGAGTGTGGTGCTTCTGTGTGGATTACCAGAAGCTGAACAGTCACTTCAAAGGATCCATACTCTATAACAAAGACCAACAATTACCTCAACCAGCTGGCCAACTCTTCGTGGTTTTCATTACTGGATCTCCACAATAGCTACTGGCAGGTTTGATTTGATGCGTGAAGCATGCCCAAAGACCACTTTCTTGACTGGACAAGGATTCTGGCTATTCCAGATGATCCCCTTTGGCCTCTGTGATGCTCCAGCCACATTTAAATGATGCAGAAGGCCCTGGAATTCATTACCCTAACACAGTGCCTTGTCTGTCTCGATGACCTGAGGCTGCATGGCAGCTTCTTTGACCACAGTTCCTTCATCCTAGGCCTAGTCCTCAAGCGAATGACTGCTCCCAAAGAAGTGCCACCTAATGCCGAGGGAGGTCTCTTTTATAGGCCACCATATAAGTGAATCTGGAATTACTACCCAGGAATGAAAAGTTAGTGCAGTGCAGGAGGGGCTGGCACCCGTCAACTTGAAGCAATTCAGAAAGTTCTTAGGGTTGGCACTGTACTACTGTGTTTTTGCCACTACCATTGTCCCACTTCTTGAGCTCTCCCAAAAAGGTGCAGAGATCGAATGGAGGCAAGGCAGGAGGCCTTCAATACATTGAATATACAGTCTTAGTTGCCCCAAGTCCCAGTACAGATGCCAATGATGAAGGACTGGGAGATGTATTGTCACAGAACAAAGATGAGAAAGAGAAAGTCATTTTATACTACAGCTGGATGCTGATGCCCATGCAACACAACAATAAGAGAAAGACAAGCCTGATCCTTCATTCCAGTGGTGAGTCCAAGACATTGCATGCCTGGGACGAGATGGCTGGACAGCTTTCATCCACCAAAGCTCTCTGGGTGCTGGATCCAGGCCTTAGGATGGAGCAATTATTTCTACACCAGTGTTCCTCCACATCCGGATAGGCTATGTGGCAGGTAGCCGTCCCTGCTGCATTATGAGAGCCCACCGACGGCTGCCTGTAGTGAGTTGTTTAGGTGAAACTAAGACTCTCGAATGTCTCAGACAGTAGTGCCAGGAAGGGTCCCAGGAAACAGTCAAGAGCAACCCTCCTACCCCTTCCTGTGAGTGCAATGAAACAAGGAGCCGTGAATATTCTAAGACCTCTACTTAAGACACCAAAGGGAAACAGGTTTATGCTAGTCACGATGGTCCACTTAATTCTCTCCACAGAAGCCAACACCCTACCAGACCAGGAGGCCAAGACTGTGTGTGATGCCCTGATAGAAGGCTTCTTCAGCTGGTTTAAAGTCCCTTGGTAGATCCACTCTGACCAAGGCAAAAACATAGAGTCCAAGGTTTGTATGCATGCAGGGGTCTAGTTGGTTTTCCTGCACCAGGACCAGCTGGCCACCTACAGAGTTAAGACCACATGTAAGCCAGTCTCTTCCAGCTCTCCTAGCCCTGGTTGCTCAGAGGGAGGTCCCGAGACAGCTGATTCAGACGCTACAGGAAACTGTGCTCCACCTTTCTCTCTCTGTTGTGTCTCTCTCGCTCCCTTTATTTTTCCCTGGTGAATAGCACATCTCTGTAACTAAAAGGGCAATAAACCCTCTGCCTTTGTGAAGCTGCAT